TTCTGTTTAGCAACTGCCTTGATCTGTCTCTTGGGGCAGTCAGAGACACCCCAATGACTTGCTTGGCAGGAAAGGGCATCAGAAGGAAGAACTAAATTGCTCTGCGTAAAACGTGTTCAAGAATTGGGAGGTGGGGGCAGGGAGAACACAGAGGGTAATCAGAGAACCAGAGAGGAAACCAGAGCCAGAGCAGGCAGAATGGTGAGGGACTCCTTAAGAAAGCACATGGTTGATATTCAGTTGGAAGTTGTTGACTTGCTGTCAACAACTCTTCTGACCCCACACTTCATTAAAGTGGTCTACACATACAAAGGAAATAAGGAAAAGTGCTGAATTCTCCTGCTAGGTCAATGCAGTGGAGCAAAGGAGAGGATGGATGGCCTAGTGGGATGCTCAGGAAGGCAGAGTTAAAAGAGGGCATGCAAATCAAGGTGCCCGGATGCACAGAAACTTTGGGAAGCACATTCGCATGGGGGCCTGGACCTTTCCTGTCTAGATCATATGGGACATGTGCTCTCAGCTAACCTCTGTGTTCTCAGAGTGCGGGCCAGAGACCAGCAATATCAGCAACATCTGAGCCTTGTTAGAAGGGCAAATTCCTAAGCCCAACCCCAGACCTACTGGATGGAACCATATGAGGTTGGGATCCAGCAATCTGTGTCTTGCCCTCCAGGCAATTTGGATACTCAAGTTCAAGTTTGAGAACTTCTGCTGTCAGGCGTTATTATTTCCATCATTGCATTCCAGTGTCCCAGTCCCCAGAGAGGTGTATGCAGAATTTCTCCCAGCACTCAGCCTGCTCCCAGCCTGGGGATAAGAACACTGCCCCTCACTTTGCACTGGAGGAAGCTTTCAGTGCCAGAAAAAGCTCCCAGCCATGGGGAGCTCCCTGCCCCTCCAGGCAGCCACTCCCTCCTGGGACCTTTCCAGTGACCCAAACGTCCATGCCTTCTAGGCTGGGGGTGCCCTCTGGAGTCACTTTTCTGAAAGAAGCCCTTCCGGACCGGAAAGACTGAAGTCTGAGTCTTCCCCTCTTCCTGTTGGTGATTTGCACAGCATAGTGCTCTGGCCACCATGGAAGCTGGTCTCTGAAGACTGCTTATTTACCAGTTTCTCTTAGAAAATCGTCCAGGGCTGCAGACGGAGGGCAGGGCAGGCAGGGCCAGCGTGACTGTGGCCTCCTTTGCTCTGCACATCGGCTGCTGTCACTGTGGACCACACTGTTACAGGAAAGGAGCCCCAATCCAGACCCCAAGGGAGGGCTCTCGGATCTCACACAAGAATGAATTCAGGGTGAATCCATAAAGTAAAGTGAAAGGAAGTTTATTAAGCAAGTAAAGGGGCTGGGCACGGTGGCTCACGCCTGTAATTCCAGCACTTTAGGAGGTCGAAATGGGGGGATCACGAGGTCAGGAGAGCAAGGCCATCCTGGCCAGCACGGTGAAACCACGTCTCTACTATAATACAAAAAATTAGCTGGGCGTGGTGGCGGGCGCCTGTAGTCCCAGCTGCTCAGGAGGCTGGGCAGGGGAATCACTTAAACCCGGGGGGTGGGGAGGAGGGGGTCAGGGGTGGCGCAGAGGTTGCAATGAGCTGAGACCACGCCACTGCACTCCAGCCTGGCGACGGAGCAAGACTCCATCTCAAAACAAAACAAAAAAAAAACAAGTAAAGAAATAAAAGAATGGCTACTCCATAGATAGAGCAGCTATTCCATAGACAGAGCAGTCCCGAGAGCTGCTGGTTGTCTACTTTTATGGTTATTTCTTGATGATATGCTAAACAAGGGGTGGATTATTCATGCCTCCCCTTTTTAGACCATATAGGATAACTTCCTGACATTGCCATGGCATTTGTAAACTGTCATGGCGCTGGTGGGAGTGGAGCAGTGAAGACAACCGAGGTCACTCTCGTCACCATCTTGGTTTTGGTGGGTTTTGGCCGGCTTCTTTACTGCATCCTGTTTTATCAGCAAGGTCTTTATGACCTGTATCTTGTGCCAATCTCCTATCTCATCCTGTGGCTTAGAATGCCTTACCATCTGGGAATGCAGCCCAGTAGGTCCCAGCCTTATTCTACCCAGCCCCTATTCAAGATGGAGTTGCTCTGGTTCAAATGCCTCTGACAACATCACCCCAACTCATGCACAGATTAAGGCCTCTGGAACCTCTAAGTACTAAAGAAACCATGACCTCCTCTCCACCAGTATGGAATTGAAAATAAAAATAATAACAAACCATCAAACAAATACAACAAAGCACAACAAAGCCCTGCATTCTCTCATTATAATTATTTTAGTATTATTTTTGAAAGACCAAATACCAATTTTTAAATGTTTATCTTAAAACATTTCTGAAACCTGAAAAGGTGAAAAGAATTATTAAAAACCAAAGCCTCATACACTCACCACTCAGCTTAAAGAATAAAATATTACAATATTGGCTGGGTGCGGTGGCTCACACCTATAATCCCAGCACTTTGGGAGACCGAGGCAGGCAGATCACCTGAGGTTAGGAGTTGAAGACCAGCCTGGCCAACTTGGCAAAACCCCATCTCTACTAAAAATACAAAAATTAGCCAGGTGTGGTGGCAGGCACCTGTAATTCCAGCTACTCAGGAGGCTGAGGCAGGTGAATCGCTGGAACCAGGAGGCAGTGAGCAGAGAGCGCGCCACTGCACTCCAGCCTTCGCAACAAGAGTGAAACTCCGTCTCTCTCTCTATACACACACACACACACACACACACACACACACAAGTATGTGTATATGTATACGTATATATGCACATATACACATATATATGCATATATGTGTGTGTGTATATATATGTAAAACCAATTTGATTAAAAAAACTAATGGTATTTTTCAAAAAATTCTGCTTTATTGCTGCTCGGAGCCAATGGTTCTCCCATTTTGCTGCTCCAGGTGGGGACGGGGGCAGATGGGATGGGGCCCTGCACACTGAGTGGAAATGGGCTCTATTTCCTGTCCTCTGACTCCAGGGGTCAACACTTTTCTGGCTAATTCTATCCTTGGATCCGCCCAGCTCTGAAGCCCAGTGGGGCCTTCACCGCATTTTTGGGACGAGGCTGCCATCTGCTGGCCGCTCAAGGAAAAGGCGGCAGCTGCATGTGGCCTGAGGAGGCACCTTGCCTGGAGTGTGATGGTGACATCCCAGCGTGTAGAGAGTTCCCTCACCCGTGACGTGGGCAGTGTCCCACAGCAGCTCTGGGAAGAGGCAAGCTGGGGAAAGAGAGTCACCCTCAACGGGCAGATGACCAGCTGAGCTGTGACGGGATGGTAGCACATGGGGTTTCCAGGGACACTTTAGGACCCAAAAAAGAAAAAAGCCAGGACTGGGGAGAAGGGAATAACAGACAAAAGATTTTTTAAGAAAGATAAACCCCCTAGAATGAGAAGCAGGTGCCACTAGAGAGTCCAGAATGGGGAACAGAAGGTTCAAGCTCCAGGGCACTGGACTTTGTTCCGTCCAGAACATCAGCCTCTGTAGTAGCTCATTCCCACAGGGATTTGTCGGCTGTTCTCTCTGCCTTGAACATTCTTTCTTGCCCCAGTCTCCTTCCTCGGAGTAAATGTTTGATCAGTGCTCGGGTCTCAGTAAACTATGCCCACACTGCCTCCAGGAAGTCCCCAGGGGCTGCCTTTTCCTCCACACCCTGTTCCTGCCTATAACCTCAGGTAGCCCTGTTCTGGATCGGCCTGCTTACTTGTTTACAGTTTTACTGTTTACTTACCCTCAGGAGATTCCAAATTCCCTGAGGGCAGGGACGACATTTCATCCCCAGCACCAGTGCAAGCAAGAGAGTGAGAAACATTGGTTTACTAAATTGATTTTTTATGGCATTTTTGGAAAATCAGACATCATAATCTGGAACAAAAAGGAAAGTACTTTGAAACATATTTTCCCCAACAACAAGGTCTCCCCAAAAGTAAGGTGGAAATGATTGCCTTTTCTATTTATCTATAACCACATGTGGAGGGTGGGGGCGTGAGAACAAGAAAGAGAGAAAACAAATTATTTTATTTTCAGTTGTCATACGTTATAAGTTATGCTGTCCTTCAGTAAACAATCATAGTAGACAGCTGCTATTTGGGGTCTGGCCAGCATCCACAGCCATTCTTCCTTCAGGTAGTAAGAGCATCTCAATTTTACTTTGGCAAAAAAACCTCTTCTATTCTCCATCTATATGATCCAGGGCAGCAAATCCCATCCCCAGACCCAAGTATGGGCACGTGGCTCAGTCCTGGCAAATCACGATATGCCAACAGCCTAGCACATGACTGGTCAGGAACAAGCACATGACCCAAGTTGGCCCAGTGAGATTTCACCCTGGAATCATTGAGGCAAGAAGACCTGGGGGTGCCGAGTGTGTAGGACGTGAACCTGGAGCTGCAGGCAACCATATTGCCACCATGAGGCAAGAGAAAGTCAGAAAGTGAAGCCAAACAAAGGAAAGCAGAGCTAGGAGAAGAGAAACGGAGACCTCAAGATAAGCATCCTTTCATTCTGGCACCCAACCCTGAACTTTTTCTGTACCTTTCTGTTACAAGACCAACAAATTCTTTTTTTTTTTTTTTTTTTTTTTGCCAAAGTTAGTTTGAAGGAGTCTCTGTTCCTTGCAACTGAACAAGTACTAGCTAACATAAAAAGCAGAATGAAGATGGGCGGGCACAGTGGTTCATGCCCATAACCTCAGCACTTTGGGAGGCCAAGGCAGGCCGATCACTTGAGGTCAGGAGTTCGAGACCAGCCTGGCCAACATGGTGAAACCCTGCCTCTACTAAAAATACCAAAATTAGCCAGGCATAGTGGCACATGCCTGTAGTCCTAGCTATTCAGGAGGCTGAAGCAGGAGAATTGCTTGAACCCAGGAGGCAGAGGCTGCAATGAGCTGAGATTGTGCCACTACACTCCAGCCGGGGCAACAGAGCAACACCCTGTCAAAAAAAAAAGAGAAAGAAAGAAAGAACAAAGAAAGTGACTTTTCCTTAGTTTTATTTTTTACAAAGTCAGTACAGCATTTGCAACACTTCTAACACAGATCAGAAAACGATAAGCTTTTACCTTATTATAAAATTATTCAGCATATAAGTTAAAAGAAGAACCACACGATCACTGAATCCCATGTCTCCAATGGTGCTGGGGTCCTAAGGCTTTGAGAGCCATCAAGTAGCCTGTTCCAGCGTTTCCATCCAGCAATCCCTGCCCCGCCTACATTTACCCCTGCTTCCAGGAGAAGTCATCATCTCCGAACAAGAAGGTCGCAGACTGTGGGCCCCGAAGCTACACCTGTGTGCACTTCTGAGCTCAGCCACCAGCCTCCATGAAGTCTCCACATCTCCTTATCTCGGTGAAGAAGTGGCTGTGGCCACGAGGGCTGTGAACAACGACCCAGGCTTCTTCCGCAGGACCTCCGGCCGATCAAACTCTACCACCTGGAGGGTAGAGAAAAGTGAGGGGAGGATCAGGGCACAGCTGAGCTTGTGTCCTTGGAGGACTCAAAGGCATCCGGGGTAGCAGCCTGAGCCCTCATCCTCCCACCAGCCCAGGGACGCAGGCCTCACCTTCCCATTGGCCATAACCAGGATGCGGTCACAGTTGAGCACGGTGGTGACACGGTGGGCAATGATCAGCACGGTGCAGCCCTGGAAGGCTTCACGGATTGTGCACTGGATCAGGGTGTCCGTCTCCATGTCAATGGAGGCTGTGGCTTCATCGATAAGGATGATCTGATGAATACAAAACAGGGGTGAAGGCATCTACTTCAGACCCTAGAGACCTGGGTCTTGTCCTGGTTTACCACTAATTCACCAGGGCCCTTCCTCTCCAGGTCTCCATTTCTTTAGCTGGGAAATGCGAGAATTGTGCTGAGTGCAAAGTCCACTCTGACTGCTGATTATCCATTACCTTATGAAGAGAACGTTAGGTCTCAACCAGGAGCGAACTGCATTTTGGTGGCCAGAGAATTAAGTTCTTGGAAATGAAAATGGCCCAGTGGCAACTTCTTGTTTTATTAACTGCTTTCCCATTTACCTAAATTAAAGTAGAGCAGTGTTCTCCAAGAAGGGGCAGGCACACACCCCAGGAGGCACATGAGATGATTTCTCCAGCATATGGATCAACACTCTTTTTAGTTGAACATTTTTGTATTTATTTCATTAACGATATGCATGAGGAAACTGTAACTCGCACTGAAAGTGTGATTTCACAAATGGCACTGCTTGGGATGAGGCTGTTTTTGAAAAGGGAATATCATTAGTAAATCACAGGGTAGGTGGTAACCAGAGATGATAAAAATCATAGAGTAATGACTCAAATTTGGGAAGCAATACAGAGGAAGCCATTGCTGCACCAAATGGTTATGTAATTGAAATAAGGAAGTGTGAAGTGAAGAAAGTACTACATGCACATTGCAAATTTGTTGTTCATCTCTCAGAAGAAGAGGGGGGAAAGTCCTACCTCCTCTGAAATTTTCCCAAGCTTTGGGTCCCACTGAGCTCTTTCCCACAGCTCTGACAGTTTGCACCAACATTTTTTGCATTTATCATTAATTAACATGTGTGTTAATTGATTAATTTATTTATCATTAATATGTGTGTGTGTGCGTGCATACGTGTGTGAGTATGGAGGAGGTGTGTACATATGCACGCATAAGTATGTGTGTACATGTGTGTGTTGCCTCACCTATGTAAGAGAAGGGTTGCCCCAGGCTATCCCACATACTCAAACACCTGAAATTATGGACAAAATATCCAGAAAGCTTCTAGAAGTTCCACCAAATTTTTTAAAATATGCAATTTTGCAGCCATAAAAAAGAATGAGTTCATGTCTTTGCAGGGACATGGATGAAGCTGGACGTCGTCATTCTCAGCAGACTAACACAGGAACAGAAAACCAAACACCGCATGTTCTCACTCACAAGTGGGAGTTGAACAATGAGAACACATGGACACAGGGAGAGGAACATCACACAACAGGGCCTGTCGGGTGGTTGGGGACAAGGAAAGGGAGAGCATTAGGACAAATACCTAATGCATGTGGGTCTTAAAACCTAAATGATGGGTTCATAGGTGCAGCAAACCACCATGGCACATGTATACCTATGTAACAAACCTGAACGTTCTCCACGTGTATCCCAGAACTTAAAGTAAATTTTTTTAAAAATGCAATTTTGCCCTGGATCAGCATCTGTCATCCAATTCCCAATTCTAATAAAGATAAAAGGGATGCCCTGCATCCAAGTTTTTAAAGAGGACACAGTAGGCAATTTTAAAATCAACAAGTTCTAATGTGTTGTGTTTTTCTGAGAAAAGAGAATCATCACTCGGTCTAGTTGGAGACCATTTCAGCTCAGATGTAAGGAATCCGGCTATCAGGCAGCCCAGGCTGTGAATCTCATCTACCATGCCTCACCCACACCACAAATATGTGTGGAATGGCACTCAGTGAAATGAATAAGCCCATCTTGAATTAATTTTTATATAAGGTGTAAGGAAGGGATCCAGTTTCAGCTTTCTACATATGGCTAGCCAGTTTTCCCAGCACCATTTATTAAACAGGGAATCCTTTCCCCATTTCTTGTTTTTGTCAGATTTGTCAAAGATCAGATGGTTGTAGATGCGTGGAAATAATTAAGAAAATGTGACACATATACACCATGGAATACTATGCAGCCATAAGAAAGGATGAGTTCATGTCCTTTGTAGGGACACGGATGAAGCTGGAAACCATCATTCTCAGCAAACTATCACAAGGACAGGAAACCAAACACTGCATGTTCTCACTCATAGGTGGGAATTGAACAATGAGAACATTTGGACACAGGGTGGGGAACACCACACACTGGGGCCTGTCATGAGGTGGGGGGAGGGGGGAGGGATAGCATTAGGAGATATACTTAACGTAAATGACGAGTTAATGGGTGCAGCACACCAACATGGCACATGTATACATATGTAACAAATCTGCACATTATGCACGTGTACCCTAGAACTGAAAGTATAAAAAAAAAAAAAAAAAAGAGCAAAAAAGAAATGAATAAGCCCTTTGGATTCCGTTGTTGTTGTTGTTGTTGTTGTTAAGACATAGAGTACAGAGCCCAGTGTCCCATGGTCGTGAAGGGAGAAGGAACCTGTGTGGCTTCCCTCATCATGTGTAGTCTGTGGCTTCCCCTGGCCATGCAGCAGTGGTGGCCTCACCTTGGAGTTGCGAAGCACAGCCCGAGCAATGCAGAGCAGCTGCCTCTCCCCCACAGAGAAGTTTCCACCATTGTCTACCACATCCGTATGCAGCTTTTTGGGGAGCTTTGAGATCTGTGATATGGGAAGAAGAGACAACATAACCTGGAAGCCACTGTGGGGTGAGAGCCAACCTGACTGGGGTGAGAGTCTCCCACTGTATTGGCAACACTCCCCTCCTCTCTCTATGCTCCAGCCTCTGTCTTCTTGCTCCTTAACTGTGCCTTGCTCGCTCTCATCTCTGGGCCTTTGCATACACTATCTCCTGTGCCCAGAATGTCCTCTCAGAAGATCTTTCACCAGCTGCCCCTCAGTTCTTGGTCTCAGCTCAGCTGTCACATGTTTAAAGAGACCTTGCCTGGTCACCCAGTTGAAAGGAACTGCTCCTGCACTGAAGTTTCTATGCGTCTCGTTACTACCTATACAGCCCTCACCAGTATCTGAAAGTATCTCCTGCATTTACTTGTTGCCTTTATCTCTCATTGACTGTATGTACCAGGAGGACAAAGACCTCATCTGCCTTGTCTTTGCTGTGCCCCTGAGCCTAGAACAGTGTTTGGCACACGGTTGGTGTCTGAGTGCCATCAGCCTTGACTTAGGAATGCCAAGTCATCTCATCTCCATGAGAGGATGCATCCATGACCTGAAGCAGCAACAGCTGGCACATCACATAAGGGGAGCCCAAAGGAGCAGGCCCCCATGGGGGATGCAGACTTAGATCAAGACTTGGGCCTTGGAGCTACTTACAGCCTTGGTCAGTAATGTCCTCTCCAAGGCATCCCAGATCTGCTGGTCGGTGTGACGGTCAAAGGGATCTAGGTTGAATCTGCCATATGAGAGAAAGAGAAGTGTTCAACAACATCACCCAGCCTTTGAACACTCATTTATATGCCCAGTGAATGACCAAGAATATTTAGAACTAGATTATGGGGTTTAGGAAAATGCATGGAACCACCACGAATGGAAATTTCCTGTGCCTCCCAGCACCTGCTCCTTCTGCAGGCAGCAGCCCCGGGTTTTGTTTAGGGGACACCTCCTCCCCAATCCCCCAGCCCATGTGTTCCAAGGCGGGCTCCACCATCCACTCCAGATGGAGTGAAGGGCTCAAGGATAAGCCAATCGACATACAGCAATCGCTGGCCACAGTGCTTAGCTCGGGGTGGGAAAGTAACCAATCAGAGTGTATCTCAGGACTTTTCAGGCTACCATGAGAGAAGAGACGTGAGGAGAGATCGCAACCATCCTCCCACAGGAGCGGGACACATGGAGCTCCCCAGGGCCCTCATGTGGAGTTAAGAATGAAGCAAGACAATGCTAGGGGAAAACCGGGCCCTGGAACTCAGCCTTGGCCTCCCCATTATCATGCATGAGTCATTAGAGGCCACTTTTGCTTAAGCCATTTGGGTTTTGTTTTGTGATAGAAAGTACATAATATTTCTCATTTTAACCATTTATAAGTGTATGATTCAGCAGCATTAAATACATTAATAATGCCATGTAACCATTACCACTATTTATATCAAAACCTTTTTCATCATCATGCTGGGCACGGTGGCTCACACCTGTAATCACAGCACTTTGGGAGGCTGAGGTGGGCGGATCACTTGAGGTCAGGAGTTTGAGACCAGCCTAGCCAACATGGTGAAACCCCACTCCACTAAAAATACAAAAATTAGCCAGGCATGGTGATGCGAGCCTGTAGTCCCAGTTACTTAGGAGGCTGAGACAGAAGAATCACTTAAACCCAGGAGGTGGAGGTTGCAGTGAGCTGAGATGGTGTCACTGCTCTCTAGCCTGGGTGACAGAATGAGACTTGGTCTCAAAACAAAACAAAACAAAACTTTTTCATTATCCCCAACAAAAACTCCATACCCATTAAACAATCTCTTCTCTCCCCTCCCCACCAGCCCCTGGTAACTTCTATTCTACTTTCCATCGATATGGATTTGCCTATTCCAGCTACCTCATGTAAGTGGAATCACGTAGTATGTGTCCTTCTGTCCGGCATCTTTCACTTCGTGTCCATCCATGTTGTAGCACGTATCGTTTCCCTCCTTTTTACAGCTGCATAATATTCCATTGTATGGCTATACCACATTTTGTTTTTCCATTCATCTGCTTATAGACGTATGGCTGGTTTCCACCTTTTGGTTACTGTGAGTAGGGCTGCCCTAAACACTAGTGTATACATATGTGTTGAAGTCTCTGCTTTCAACACTTTGGGATATATAACTGGAAGTAAAATTCCTGGATAACTTAGTAATTCTATGTTTAACATTTTTTGTTTCTTTGTTTTTGAGACAGCCTCGACGACGCTGGAGTGCAGTGGTGAAAACACAGCTCGCTACAGCCTTGACCTCTTGGACTCAAGCAAGTCCCCTGCCTCAGTCTCCTGAGTAGCTGGAATCGCAAGCACAGACCACCATGCCCAGCTAATTTTTGTTTACCTTTTTGAGGAACTGCCAAATTGTTTTCCATGGTCTCTGCACAATTTTACATCCCCACTGGCAATGCACGAGAGTTTCCATTTTTCCACATCCTTGTTAACACTTGCTATTTACCTTTTATTATTGTTATAGCCATTCTAGTGGGTGTGAAGTGGTAGCTCATTGTGGTGGGGCTGGAGTTTCTGTTTCTTGCAGTGAAAAGAATCCTAACATCCAGGTAACTGACAGGAGAGAGGGAATCTATCTGGACTTTACAGCCAGCAAGCTTTACACTTGCATCTGGAACAGGCGGCACTATAGACACTTCCCTGCTATTCAGCCGCGCAGCCCTGAGTGAAACCTGTCAACCTCTGCTTTATCCTTCCCCAGTTGTGCCAGCCACACATATCTTGTGTGTAGGGCTAATGTGTACTGAAAAAGTGGCAGGTCTTATTTGCATGACATTTGATGTCTCCAAAGCACTTTCATAGATGGGTTATTTGACATTTTCTCCTCCATGAGATGAGTATACCCCTTTCTTATCAGTTTTAAATGGCTTGTTCAAGGCCGTGCCACAAGCCAGTATGAGAGCCAGGCTGACATCAAAGACACTCAGAGAGACGCTTAAGGGTAGAGCCTTAAGTTCTAAGGTACGATTTCAAGTCCACATTTCTTTCTGCAGCAAGGGATGCGCGGAATATTGCAAGTTATGGGTTTAGAATACCTAGGGTTATATCTCTTCACCATTTCTCTGTGTGTCCTTAAACAAGTCCCCTTCCTCTCTAAGTTCTGTGCCTTCATCTGTAAAATGGGGATAATGAAAGGGCCTCACAGGGTTGCTGGGAGAGTTAAATTAGACAGTATACTAAAGCATTTGGTTGGCACACATAAATAATAAATGTTAAGTTCATATTTTTACTACTCTTCGTGCCAATGCACAGGAGATTCGGCCACATTCTACTGTAACATAGAAATCCATCACTAAATGTCTTATCATTCCCCTAACATGACCATTTTGTTGTTGTTGTTGTTGCTGCTGCTGTTTTTTAGTGGGGGTGGGTTTGAGACAGAGTTTCCTTCAGTTGCCCAGGCTGGAGTGCAGTAGCATGATCTCGGCTCACTGTAACCTCCACCTCCTGGGCTCATGCGATTCTCGTGTCTCAGCCTCCCGAGTAGCTGGGATTACAGACGTGCACCACCACATCTGGCTAAGTTTTGTATTTTTAGTAGAGACGGGGTTTTGCCATGTTGGCCAGGCTGGTCTCAAACTCCAGACCTCAAGTGATCCGCCTGCCTTGGCCTCCCAAAGTTCTGGGATTACAGGCATGAGCTACTATGCCCTGCCTCACGACCCAGTCATTTTGAAACTCTGTGTCTGTACACATATTGTTCCCTCTCCTTGAAAAGAGTTTCTCTCCTATTTCTGCCTGGCAAGCTCCTACTTAGCTTTCAAGACCCTGATCAAATGTCCCCTCCTCTGGGAAGCCTTTCTGGATTCACTCAGGCAGTGACTCATCCCACTTGTAACTCCCTTAGCATTTTGTACATATCTCTGACTTAGCAATTACCTCTTCCTACTGTGATTTATTGGGTCTTACCCCTGTAGAAAACCATCTTCCCCACCCACACTGTGAGCTCCTGCTGGGGGAGCAGGGGAAATGCACATTCACTAAACTGGCTCCAGTCCCTAGCACAGTGTCTGGACCAGGCAGAAGCTCAGAAAAGGCAAGTTAAAGGGTGGAAGGATGCATGAAGGAATGAATGAATGAAGCTCTGGGGCCCAGTTTATCCTCCTGGCTCTAAGAATTCTCCTTAAATATCACAAAACATGGGGGACCTAGCCTGCTTTTTAGTGCATCTGTCTTCCTCAGTCCCCATGCCTTTATGTTTCCTCCCAGATAAAGTGCATTGTCAGTAGGAGCCTAATCTGGATAAAGCTTCATCCCTGAGTTGACTTCTGAGGACACAGAAAGTGTAGTGAAGAGGCTGGAAGATCTGGTTCTGTCTGCTTCACTGACTGGGTTGCCTGGATTTTTCTCACTTCACCCCTGTCCACAATGTGTACCATTGAAGAATCACTTCCTAAAAACGTCCCCAGGGGCTTTGCCCAGTGCACGGAGAGAATAAGCCACGTCTGGACAAGAAAGAACATGGTAGCCTGAGTCCAAATGCTTAATGGTGTAGTGAAATCTGACCAATCCCATCAGCATTTTGTTTCTGTTGCTTGTTTGTTTGTTTGTTTTTTAATAGAGTCAGGGTCTTGCTGTGTTGCCCAGGTTGGAGCACAGTGGCTATTCACAGGCATAGTCATAGTGTACTACAGCCCTGAGCTCCTGGGCTCAAGCGATCCTCCTGCCTCAGCCTCCCAAATAGCTGGGACTACAGCTGTGCACCACCATGCCCATCCAGTTTCTAAAAAATAAAAATAAGCTTTGTTTTTGCGTAGAACATTATGGTTTACAAAGTGCTCTTATATATATTGAGGCCTCATTTAATCCTCAACAGTACTTCAGTGAGGTAAGCCTGGTAGGCATGAGTGGCCCAGCAGGCCAAGGAGGCCTGGAAATCGGGGCATTGGTCACCAGCTCACTATAGGCAGCCCAGTGCTGGAATCCTGGTCCTGTGACCTCCCTCCCGCAGGCTGCCTGCTGGCCGAGCACTCACTTGATGGTTCCCGAGAGCAGCACCGGATCTTGAGGGATCACTGAGAGCTTGGACCGCAAGTCCTCCAGGCCGATGCTGCAAATGTCCACGCCGTCAATGAGAATCCGGCCTGCCATGGGCTCCACCAGGCGGAAGAGAGCCATGCCCAAGGAGGACTTCCCTGTGGGGCAAGAAACGAGCAGGGCCTCAGTTTCCTGCATCTGCACTAGTGGAAGCACAGGTCACACCTGGCGATCGCACCTGACCCACTGCCCTCCATGGCCCATTCTTCATCGTTGTGAGCCCTGAAAGGGTAGGAGAGGGCTGGTGTCTCTGCTCCAGGCATACCTAATGCCATGAGCAGCTTCTTACAGCCTAGGTCAGAGGGCACGCGTGGGGCCCCTGGATCAAAGCCAGCCCACAGACATGTTTTGTTTCGTATGTTAGGGTTAGTTTGTAATTCCTTGCCAGCATTTTTAAAAATCCTAGATATAAAAATTCAAATTGCATGTTTCTCTTGAAACTTAGTAGAACTGGCAACACTGGACCCATATACCCCCCCAGGCAACAGCTCAGCTGGAGCTGAGCATGGCCGCTTGATTGAGACACAGTGGCGTTCTCCAGTCACCACCTGCCCTCCCCAGCCCCCGTATGTCACACCGAGACCCATGGCACTCAGCTATGTCACCTGCCAGGTGACATAGCATTGGAGGTTTCAACCCTGTTCTCAAAGATAAGCTCTGTGAGGGTAGAAGCTGTGTGTCTTCTTTACCTGTAGGTTCCCAGGCACATAGTAGGTGCTCATAAATACCTATTGAATGAATATAGTCAGTAGGGTCAGAATCTACTGAGAGCTTCTCTCTGCCAGACCGTGGCCCTCTCAGGGTTTCCACCAATCGGCAGGTGGAAAATAGCAAGAGAAAAACACCCAAAAGTACATATGTGGAAGCTCTTCACCCTGCAGTGCGCGAGTGCTAGGGAGACAGAGACCAGGAAAGCTCTCATCATCCATGGGACTGCCTGGAGGAGGCAGCTCTGGGGTGTCCAGGGGTGGGGGACAGGGGACAAGAACCAAGTCTGAACAGTAGCTTTCGAACAATGCAAAGAGGCAGAGGGAGGGGGACTTGGGCCAGATCTCCCAGAAGTGACAAGAGAGGAAGACAGGGAGAGAAACTGAGGAGGAGAAAGGAAACTGGGAGAGGAAAGAGGAGGAGACAGAGGCTGATGAGAGCAGTCCAGGAAGCGGGTGGGGAGGGAGGAAAAGGGGAGTCTGGATTTAACTCCTGTCCTGCTCTTCATCCTGGCAGTGCCCTGCACTGCCCCTCCAAAAGTGCTCCTGCCCGGACCCTACATACCTCAGCTTAAGCACTGGGCTCAGAGCCCAGGTATCCACAGCCTGGTACCACTGGTCCCATTATTCTGCATTCACCACTCTGTTTATTTTCTCCCTGGCAGCCACCACAGCCTGCAGCTGTCATATTTCTGTCTTTATTTGCTGTTCTATTTAACATCTCTCTCCTCCACTGGAATCCCATGATCACAGGGACCTTGGGTTTTGCTCGCCAGTGTTTGTCTAGCACAGGGACCAGCACAATGTGAGGACCTAATACACATTTGGGGGATAACTGAGCAAACACATGCCCCCAAATAAGTCTAGTGCCGAAAGGGCAAAGGAGGAGCCGGGGATGCTCCCCCAGGAAGCTCAGCTCACCAGAGCCCGTCCTTCCCACGATGCCCACCACTTCGTTGCTACGGATGGTCAGGTTGATGCCGTGAAGCACAGTGGGTGTGTTGTCTCTGTATTTCATGTGATAATCCTGAAATGTGATTTCCCCATGCTGTGGCCACCCCCGTGGACAACTTGTGCCTTCCATATGTAAAGGAGCTTCAGAGACACACATCTTGTTTTTGAAGAAAGAAAAGGAAATCAATAGTTATCATCCATCTCAGCCCATCCCCTGCAGGCCTGTCAGCCTCCCACTGTAGGGGGTATGACCCACCCCAGCCTGCCCTGCGCCAAGGTCAAGCCCCCCGCTGTGTAATCAGAGGAACACCTCCCACCCCCCATGCCCTAAAACACACAAAATTTTCCCCAGAAGAGTGAGAAACCTGCATAGCTAATTCCCTTGTTATTAACATATAGCAATGTTCCTGATTGTGTGACTCGAAAGAAATAGAATCCAAGATAAAGACAGTAAAGGCAGCAGAGACTCATGCCTTCGGGGGGTTTCATAGCTCAGAGCCCTTGTGTAGACTTAATGTCTCTCTATCCTCATCCTATGAGACAGGCCTTTTTAGAGGCATTTACCAGGTGAGGAGATAGAGGATCCAACAACTTAAGATCAACAACTTACTTAAGATCACACAGTTTCAGGTTGGAACTCAAACCCAGATCTGCAAGTGCAGTTGTGTGTGTTGAGAGGAAAGAACACTGGAGAAGTTGGGTCTGACCACCTGGCTGCAAGCCACAGCTCTCCACGCTGGTGCCATGTCACGGCAGCATCCTGGGCAGGAAATCAGGGCCCTACAATTCTTAAATTCCACTCATGCAAGGGGGCAGGAGACCTGATTTGCAGAGGGCTCTGCCAGCCCCAGCCTGTATGATCTTAAGCAAATGTTCTGCCTGGGCCAACCTCGGTTTCCTTGTTTGAAAAATGTGGATAATCATTCAATCAACCTGATAAAATTGTTCCATGATCCCATGAGATAATCTAGGTAAAAAGCTTAGTGCCATGCCTGGCCCATAGAAAGGTCTCAATCACAATAATAAAGAACATGATGGAGCCTCCCTATGGGTCAGGCAGTGTGCTACGCGCTTTATGTGTTATATCATTTCAACTTTGTGATAACCTGGCAAAGCGATGCTATTGTCTTTCTCATTTCAGAGATGAGGAAAAGAGTTTGAATAAGTTTCCCAGGTTATTCCAATGATTCAAATGATAAAGCTTAGACTTGAACCCAGGAAATCTGGCTACAGAATCTGTGTTCTTAACCACCATGACATAAATGGAAGCAATAATAGGAACAAAGATTATTGTCATCATTATTATTGCACCAGGCAAACCTCTCATTTCTAAGAGGAGCAGATGATCTCCTCTTCCCCCTAGGAATGCTGTGAGGGATGTGGACAAAGTGAGCAGACAGGTGTGGAAGAGCTTCAGCAAGATGGTCAACAAAAGTCTGGGGAGGATGGGGAGGAAGGGCCAGGAGCCTGCTGTTTCCTGGGACGGTCTCAGGGCTCTGAGGTCACTGGGGCTTGTAGAGGTCACAGAAGTCACGCCCCAACTTGCGTAGCTCCCTACACCAGACCCAGACCTGAATCACACCTTCATGTACTGCAGCATCCTCTCTGCAGCCACGAAGTGTGCCTCTGTCTCTGCGCCAGTCCGGGCAGCGGCCTGGAAGGTGGACGCCAGCTGGAAGGAAGGAGAAGTGCTGGGGGTCAAGAGGCTGCTGGGGTGTGCTCAGGCTCTTCAACGCTCCTGACAACCACGGATTGCCATTGCCCCTGAGTGACCCCTGAAACTAAGATAATTTTCCTAGAAAGAATGGAGCAGAGGCCGCTGGTGCCCCCTCAGCCCTCTTCTGAGTTTAGCTGCAGCTGCGATGGACAATTCTCTCCCCAGACACTGTTCCACCTCAAGTGCCCTCTGTATGTCTTTCTGCTCAAGACCTCTGCCCACATCACAGCAACCACCTAGCCTGTGCATGAGGGCATCCCAGAAACCCAGGAGACTTAAGGCTACTGAGAATGAACTTTGACTGATGGGGAACAAGAGCTAGCAGAGATAAATGCTCCCATCTCCCAGCCTTTGAGGGCATGGTCCTGGGAATATCCCATACGCTCCTCAGGAGATCCCAGGACAGTTGAGCCCTAGTGACATAGAACAGGGACCCCAATGTCAGACTTCCATGATGACTTCCTCCTTCCCCGTCTCACTTTTCTGCTCCCCCAATCCTGGTTCCTGGTAGCACCTCCCAAATAAGCTGCCCGCACCCAAGTACCTGTCTCAGGTCCTGCCTTCAGGGAAACCCAGGCTAGAGGAGTGAGGGACTCTTGGGAATTGGGGGTACCAAAGATAAGGAAACTGAGGCTCCAAAAGAAGAAATTACATTCATAGAAACATCTAGAAGCTGGAGGCAGAGCTGGGGTTAGGGCCCCGGTCTATAACCTCCATTACCCTGGCCCAAGAAACGGGCAAAAAGGACGTGCAGGGGGTGCTGGGTAACACATTCATCTACATTCATTCAACAAACTGGTGGATGGCTCTGTACCAGAAGCTGGACCAGGCTCCATGTCCCAAAGTGTGGCAGATGTAAGCCTGCCCTCAAGGAGCTCCCAGCCGGATGGAAAGGCAGACAAGGCAACAAAGAATAAAGTGCAGAGGGGTGCACTCCACAACGGAGAAGCCCTGGAGAGCCACTGGGATGCACAGGAGGGGTCCTGGATGAGGGCACAGGGAAGGATTCCAGGAAGAGTCAGTCCTAGAGCGACATTTTTAAGGTGAAGTAAGATGCAGTGGGCTAAAGATGTGTGGAGAAGAGTGTTCCAAACAGAACAGCCTATGTAAGCGCTGAAAGCAGCAAATTCACAGATTACACCCAGGCACCCACAAGCTGTTTGGCTATGGCTGAAACAAAAGGGTGTGGGAAGGAGGGGAAGCCCTCTGTAAGTCAGAGAAGGTGGGCACCATGATGAAATGGTGCTTAGTCTGGAAAGGAGGCCAGGGGTGGGTTGGAAGACCACATTTCCTCCCATCCCCCAGTGTATCACACCCTGTGGGCTGCCTTGCCAGCATCATGTTCAGGTGTCTGATGGCCTTATGCTTCAGGGAAGCTTGGTTAATCCAAACTAATCACATTAATTCAACTCCTCTTGCCAGAGATTGGTTTATGTGTGGGCTCATGATGCCATTGCGGCCATTGAAGGATGAGAAGGCATCAGATGGGTGTGTTCTTGAAAACTTCTCTTTGCTTTTAAAAAGGAACAAACACATGGAAAAAGTTATCTCCTCTCCAGCCTTTGACTGTTATTGTGGGAGGATGTGTCACTTGGGGCTGCAGCAGCCATTTTGTGACCATGAATACAGACAGACTTGCAGACAAAGCTAGACTGTGGATGCCAGCACTAAAAGGTAGAATGATCAAGGGTTCTTGCTAGGCCACTACATGAGCCAACTGAGCATAGCCCTACCCCAGCCTTCTGGTTACATGAGAGAATAAGTTCCCAGATGGTCGAGGCCATTTTGGGTTGATTCTTTGCCTCACAGCCAGATGCATCTCTGGCATTTCCTGAGAAGCCTCTTAAGGCTACAAAGCAATGTGATGTGTGATTCCTGCCTCCCAATGCTTGAATGCAATTTTCTCAAAAGTGCATGCAGAAGTCAGTGAGGTTCTGGCTTGACTGCAGCAGAGGGAGCACATTGAGGTCAGGACCCCATAGCTGAAGTTTGGTAGACAGGAGACAGAGTTTTCGAAGGCTTCTGAACAAAGCAGTGACATGATGAAAACTATAATTAAAGATTACTCTGGTGAGAGTGTGGAAGGTGACTTGGAAAGTGCTGCAGTGCTGGGGATTGAGAAGTTATGACCAGGATGAAGATAAGATGCTTAAATAATACAGCAGACCTTGAAAAGAAAAAATGACCCTCAAGGGCCCTTTTGAAGCAGTCAGTCCCCCAGGCAGGGTTTCCCATTTGTGTCTCCGGTGGTGCAACAACCTTGGAGCAACTGCCTGCTGTGAACGGGGCACCCTGGGAGAGACGAGCCTCTGCCTCGCTCCTTACAGGGGCTGCGCTTAAGGCAGCGCCAGCACTGGGCAAGCTTCGCCCTGAGCGTTGCCCTCCTGATCTATGTCCTGAAGCAGCAGCAGGAGGGATTTCTGGGCCTTAGTGGTTCCGAATCCCCTAAGACCCTGGTGTGGTGCCTCTCCCTGAGAGTGCTGGAGGTCTGGGGGTCACTCTGTACTGGTGCATGTGTGTATATCAGAGAGAGAGAGAGAGAATGTGAGCCTGTGCACACACCTGCGTCTTACTAGCTATGGGAGCATGGCCAAGTTACTTAAACTCTCTAAGCCCTAAGTTTTCTATTTGTAAGACCAGAACAATAATAGCTAATATTCATTGAGCATTTATTGCAGGCCAGGCACTACTCTAGGTTTTCACAAGCATTAAGTCTCACATTTACACATAATCCTCACAAGGCTATTATTTTTGAAACCTTTATTATCTCCCCTTTACAGATGAAGAATCCCAGGCACAGAGAGGTTAACCAATTTACCCAAAGCCACACAGCTAATAATGGGCAGAGCCTCTTTGAACCTGGATATTCCAAACCACATGTTCTTTTTTTTTTTTTTTTGAGATGGAGTCTCACTCTGTCACCCAGGCTGGAGTGCAGTGGCGCGATCTTGGCTCACCGCAAGCTCCGTCTCCCGGGTTCACACCATTCTTCTGCCTCAGCCTCCCGAGTAGCTGGGACTACAGGCACCCGCCACCATGCCTGACTAATTTTTTTTTTGTATTTTTTTACTAGAGATGGGGTTTCACCGTGTTAGCCAGGATGGTCTCGATCTCCTGACCTCGTGATCCACCCACCTCGGCCTCCCAAAGTGCTGGGATTATAGGTGTGAGCCACGGCGCCCGGCCCCAAACCACATGTTCTTAACCACTTTGCTCATCTCATGCAGTGGGGTGAGCATTGAATGCCTGGAAGAGAGCACAGCCAGTGCCTGCCATTGCACCAGCTCAGTGGAAGTCTGTTTCAAGTCTTAGGCACATTTAAGTTTGAGAAGCCCTGTTCTAGGGGCCGGGCTGCTAAACCCACCTTTTAAACGACCCTTCCAGGTGATTCAGAAAGGTTTGACAGCTCAATCAGGATAGGAACGGTTAGGTACAAAGACAGCAGCCAGGAAGCCAAGAGGTCAGGGTTCTCTTACCAGCTCTGCTAACATGCATCTGTTTGGACAAGTCCTTCCCTTGTCTGGGCCTCAGTTTCCCCAACTGCACAATATGAGCATTGGACTCTGTTGCCTGTGGGCTCCCCCTTCATTCCCAGTGTCCTGTGATTCTATTAAATACCTTTGAATACAGACTTCCCAATTCAGAGCTGACCACGAGGAAACAGAGCAAAGTAGCCAATTTCAGAAGGCCAAGCACGTAACTCCTAAGATCACATGTGGCCAGAACTTAAGGTGTCACTGAATACCTGAGGACCCCCTGAGTCTGCCCAGAAGCCGCAGGCAGAGGATGAGCAAAGCTCAGACAGGGCCCACACAGGGTCACCTCCTCACCTGCAGCACGATGCTGAGAGCCATGGCTTTAAAGGAGTAGGAGGTGGAGGAAATGCCAAAAGCCACGAACAGAGCAACAGCCAAGGTCACAAGGTTGGTCAAGATCTCCAGCCTCAATGCCACCCATCGCGTGGAAGACAGAAACAACAACAGGTAGTTATTCTGCGCATCAGTCAGCCTCTTAAACCTGAGAAGGAAAGCACAGACTAAGAACCACGTGTTTGTCTGACCCAGGGTCTCCCCGGGTCTGGGTAGATACCGGCTGCTTCCTCCAGCATCCAGGTCCCCACTCCCAGCAGCAGGGCCTGATTTTTCTTTGGGGAGTTCCTCCCTACCACTTTCTCAGCCATGAATTTGGGTGCAGTTGACCTGACTCCTAACCCAGATTGAGGAGTAGGCTCTGCCAGTAAGGCCCGTCCTTAGCACGCACTCCTCGCCTAACCTCTGCGACTCACTCAGAGATGGGTGAGTTACCCTAAACTGGCCACAGAGAGTGAATAAATGCCAGGACGTGTGAGTGAGTGTGGGAGTGGTTCCTTTCAGTGGGATGATGGGAGATCCGAAACTACCATTCTGCTACTAGGAGGGGAGCCTGGAGCCACCAGAGGGTCTCTGGAAGCTTAAAGGTAAAATAACACAGTGGAAGGCAGAGCAGCAAAGCCAAGACACCCGGGGAACATTAGCTGAGTCTCTGGATTAAGCCTCACTTTAAGCAAGTCCTCCTCCCCAGCCTTTTGTTATGAAAATTGTTATAAGTACCGAGAGATTAAAAGCTTGATTTAATGAACATCTGTATACCCACTAATGAAAAATTTTTGAAGTAACAAGAAATTAAAAAGTTGGTTCCAAGAATATCTGTATACCCTCTACCTAATTTAGCAATTGTTACTATTTTGCCATATTTAAGTCATACTTTTAAGCTAGTTTGAATTAGTTTTTTCTGTCACTTCCAACCAATAGAGACCTACCAATTTCCAATTTTCACATACCACCATCACAGTTTTCCATATCAATCACAACCTATACTGTTAATTGATTAGTATTCTTATTTTACATGATTTATTTGAGAATGTATATTAAAAGAAACTTTACTCACAACCTTAAATTATATAAATAATGGCTTTGATACGTTAGTTGCATTTTTTCTAAAGTACATTCAAATAAAACTTTGATTATTGAAATTAAATATTCATTTACACATCAACTAAAACCATCTTACCATCTGAGTGGGCTATCACCCCAGCACAGTGGCCCTTCTGACTCACTCTGTCCATACCCTCTGAACCTTTGCATAAGATATTCCAAATTCCGTCCACCTTACCTTTCTATACTGATTGAGTCACCTCCACCTTGAGGCCTTCCCAGATTAAACAAAACAGACCCTGGTCACTCTGTGGCCCCTGTGCTCAAGCCACCTTGCTATCCTTCAAACCTACTCCCCCATCTCACGGTCTTTGCGTTTACTGTCCCCTCTGCCTGCAGAGGTCCTGCCCACATAACTCCATAGCTCAACCCACACTTGATTTAGATCTCTGCTCAGGTCCTTTTCTCTGAGACCTTCCCCAACAACAGCTCCAATCCCTCCAGTCTCTCTTCGTCTGCGTGTCTTGGTATATACCTTGGGGCAGGGTTCTCAGTGTGGGCTGAGCGAATGCATCGCTCCAGGATCCCTTCAGTCCTAGAGTCTGCACAGACCTTGAGTGGTCTATAATGCCACTGAGAGAGCAGGTGCACAGTTCATCCAATATTCCAGCTAACTGAGCACATACCATCTCCCAAATGTGTGCCCAAGTCTTACCCAGGCTTCAAGGCCAGCTCAGATGCCACCTCCTCCTGAAAGCCTTCTCTGATCCCCCCCAGGCCACCTCCTTCCCCTCTGAATTCCCAAGTAGTTTATCTGCCCCTCTTTGATGCCATCTATCTTCTTCAATCATGTATAATTACAAAAACATGTGCCTGTTTCTCCCTTTTCCACCAGACTATGAACTTCTTGTAGGTGAAGACCGTGCTTGATTATCCTCTACAAACAGATAAGTTCATGTTACACCATTAAACCTCAACAACAATCATAGGACTTGTTTGCTTGTTTGTTTCAACATTTAGGAGGCAAATCTATGGCATGAGTAGTGAAGGAAGTTCTGTTATTTAGAAAGCTATTGTTCCTTATTGTTTTGTTAAAGTTAGATATTTGTTTGGAAGTGAAAGAAATAACATAATGCAAGATGTGTTTGCACAGTAATGCACCCTATCATTAAATGTATGTATACATATGTCCATATATATACACACACAATATATCCAAGGCCTTTAAAGTTTACAAACATTTTTCCTATTATTTACATTTTTCATTATTATAAATGAAAGAATGGCTCAGCAGGTTCTGGAGGCTCAGAGAAATAAGTCCATCGAACAATGTGCTCTGGTGCTTTTGAGGATGATGCCATTCCCAGATGCTCCATTCTTTCCCTGATCCCCACCACCCCTGTGGTTCCATCATTCTCAAATGGCAGCAGAAGGACTCACTGGCTGATGAAGTCTTCAGTTTTTCCATAGACATGGATGGAGCTCAGGCCTTGCAGAGAATTGAGGATGTGGGAGAATAAAGGGGACCGGCTATAGTTCTCCAATCTCTTGAACACACCGATGGCCTTCTTGAACATCCTGAATAGACAGTGGAAGTAAGGGACCTGGACCGTCCACCTCTGGGACCATCTAGTCTGGGTTGGTCCCAGCCTTGCTCCCCAAGTCACAAGCAAAAAGAACCTACTCACATATAATAAACGAAGCAAATAACCATGATTGTGGCTCCCATTAACAGGATATATGGAGACAGCATACTGATAACCAACAGGATGGCGATCACCAGCAAGGACAGGACCATGAACTGCTCTGAAAAGATGGGCAAGAGCTGGTCCAGCTCTTCCAAGTCCCCTGCGAAGCAGTTCAAGAGCCGGCCTATTGGGATGGTGTCAAAGAAACTCATGGGGCAGCGGAAAACCTGCAGGGACAAAATCAGTGTGGACCGTGAGAGAAGCTGCAGGCCCTCCTCAAGATTGGATGAAGATGTCTATTACCCTTGACTCTAAAGAGCCATGGGATGTGATCCCAGGGGTCTCCAGGGCAGGCAATGTAGAGCAATGGTTTAAAAGCACAGATGGGCTCCATGGCTACCTGACTCCTCCACCTACTGCTGTCTGACCTCGGGCAAGTACTGAGCTCCTCTGAGTCTCAAGGTCCTTGTTAATGAAATGGTGATGAAAACGATGCTTCATAGAGTTGTAGTGAGGATCACACAACTCCTCAAATATACTAAACACTGAAGTGTATAATTTAAAAGGGTGAATGTACGGTATATGAATTATATCCTGTAAAGCTATTAGAGAGAATACATTGAAAATGCTCAAAGCAGTGCCTCCCCCGAGGTAGGAGGTGAGACTTGACTCTGAAGGCGGGGTTTGAACGCCAGACCAAATTGAGGACTAGCTAAAACAGGGGCAGGGTGGAAGCCACTTTCCATAAGACAGGCCTACCAGTGTGTCATGTCAGTTTACCACTGCCATGGCAACATCCAGGAGTTACCGCCCCTTTCTGGGTCATCAATGACTTGATGACTTGGAAGTTGCCACCCTTTTCCTAGAAACTTCTGTATAAACTGTCCCTTAATCTACATGTAATGAAAAGTAGGTATAATATGACTGCAAACCTGCCCTGAGCTGCAGCTGTCAGCACACTGCCTACAGGGTAGCCCTGCTCTGCAGGGTCAGTCATAGAGCTGCAACACTGCCAGAACTGCAACACTGACACTTCAGTAAAACTGTTTTCTTCTACCCTACCACTGGCTCGCCCTTGAATTCTTCCCCGGGCAAAGCCAAGAACTCTCATGGACTAAGCCCCATTCTGGGGTTTGCCTGCCCTGCATCACCCTCAGTAGGCATTCTATCCATACCAGCTCTTATGATTTTCTACAGATGGCACCATTTTCACTCAGGACTGCCAAAGATTAGCAGCAGCAATCCCACTGTGGTTGCACACGATTTGGACCCTTGGATCAAATTTAGCCATAACTGCCCCCTTCTTGAAGGTGGTACCTCCAAGTTGATCTCTAACAGCCAGTGGGCATGAGGCCTTTCAGAGATCAAAGGACATTTCAAACCACAAGGTAGGCTCTAACAAAAGCATTTCGTTTGGTGTCCTTGTTTTGCAGATGAGGAAACTGAAGATTGCAGAAGAGGAAGTGGCTCTGTAACTTATTCGTTACCCAAGTGGTTAATGGCAAAACCATGATCCAATTAAGGCCTTCTGAGGCTTTCCCAAGCCTGGCACAGTCACTCTTCACAGAAGGCAATTTCTTAAAGATTCATGGCACCGACAAAATGACCACCTACATTTCCCCATGTACTTCTCAAGCTATAATGCAAGAAGTAGAAATGAAGAGAAGTCAATGGCATCTATTAAAGTCAAACTCACGGAAAGAGCAGGGAAGGACATTTTGACTACTAAATGTAATTATTTGAGCCATGAACTGTTCCCTATAGCTGCTCTCATTGCAAATGCATGGATACTGCTGACCAAGTGTAGTTCTCATGTATGTTTGCTTTCTAGCTGGTGGGGTAGTGAGGGTCGGAGGGGCAGATTTAGGGCCACCTTGCTTTTTCTGCCTCTAAAATGCCTTCAATTTTATTTCCAGAATGTTTTGTTAAATACTTGAGCTAAAGTAACCAGAATTGTCATGATCACTCAGAGGAATCAAAGAGCAAAAGGGTCACCCCTTCAAGGACTCTGAGCACGCCTTGCGGGTGCGGGGCATGGCGGGGTTGTGGAGGAGACACAGGAACGGACCTCATTTCCACTGTGGGTGAGGAAGTGCATCTGTGGAAGCCCAGCATTACTCTGGATTAGGGACCAATGGTGGTAACAAAGGGAAAAGGGTTTTGGTTTCTGATTGTCTTCTAAGTATCACAATGATCTGGGGTTGTTCTTGTTTGTTCATTTTTGCTTCATTTTTTTCTGTTGTGCTTGCAGTTGAGCGAATTTTTTCAGATTTATCCTTTACTTGTGATTCTTTAAAACTACAAAGACAAATTTAAAGTTTAAAAAGCCACGAAAGGACTGGAAAAATGAAAATATCTTAAATACGAAACACATTTTCATGGAAAGAAACTTGAACATTTCTCAAAATTAAAATACAAAATGTCATGTAGAGGCATGGGCACTGGATATTTCTAGAATCTTGGAATGTGCCATCAAAAGAAACTCAGAGACCACCTGGAGGGCTGAGGGCCACCCCCAGAGGACGGGTGGGAAAGTGTCAGGCCTCAGGTAGAATGTCCCCCTCCTGCTTTCTGATTCTGCCAAGCTTTACCTGAGAGGTAGGGAAAAGCTTCGTCTCACCCTGCCGAAGTTGAAACACTTGATGGCAACACAATTTGCATTCAGTCTACAAGGAACGATGGGCCACCCCTCACCTCCCGTGTCTCCAAGTCAAAACCCCCACTCCCACCTCTGAGATCAGCCTTCTAGAACTCCATTCGCCTCCCAAAAGCGCTCTGCTTTTGTTCACCTTCAGTCTCCTGGTCTTGAGCTGGCTAAATCTGATTCCTCCTTCAAGGAGGGAAGCTCCCAAGAAGGCTTTCTGGACTCTCCCCACTTTCTTCCCCTGCCCTCAAGCTAAGACAAGGTGCCTCTTACATTCTCATGGCCCTGTGTGCCCCATCCCATTTTCTTGTCCATCTACTCCATTAGACTATACACCCATGATGGCCCAAATCCTACCTGCACTGTGCATTCTCTGATGTGAGCCCCATGGCCACTGCAGAAACTGGCACATAGTAACACTTAGTAAGTGAGGGAGAGGAATGACATTTCCAAGAAGCAGTGTGATACCACAGACAATTTGGGGTGTGTGTATGTGTGTGTATATATATATATATATATATATATATATATATATATATATTTTTATGAGATAGGGTCTCACTGTCTCCCAGGCTGAAGTGCAGTGGCATGATCTTGGCTCACTGCAACCTCCACCTCCCTGACTCAAGCGATCCTCCTTGATCCTCAGTCCCCCGAGTACCTGGGACTACAGACACAAGCCCCCATGTCCGGCTAATTTTTATATTTTTGGTAGAGACAAGATTTTGCCACATTGCCCAGGCTGGTCTTGAATTCTTGAGCTCAAGCAATCCACTCACCTCGGGCCTCCCAAAATGCTGGAATTCCAGGCGTGAGCCACCATACCCAGCTGACAATTGAGTATTCTAACCAAACACATATTCCAACTTTAACATATGTGAGATTTCAGTATCCTCATATGTAAAATGAGGATAATATCCACTTCAAAGAGAACTCAGGGCATTCATAAGCAACTCTACGTGACCATGCTCAGCCAGTGGAGGCCAGCGTTGCTGTGGCCCTCCATCAAGGGACACTGAGCTCTTATAACCAGACTTCCAGCAGCGGGAGAACTCCGCCACACCTTCGTCACTCCCTCCTCATCAAGCAGCCCGGTTCACCCAGCTGCAACGACGACATTTTAGAAAAGGCAAAGCTATGAAGAGAGTAAAAAGGATCAGTGGTTGCCAGGAGTTTGAGGGTAGGGAGGGAGAATGAATAGGTGGGGCACAGGGTTTTGTTTATGGCAGGGGAACTATTCTGTACCGTGGATACATGTCATTATACATTTATCAAAACCCATAGAATGCACAGCACAAAGAATGCACCATAAGGTGAACCGTGGACATTCGTTAATAATAATAATTAATAATGTATCAATATTGACTCATCAATTGTAACAAACATCCCATGTTAATGCAAGATGTTAAGAATAGGAGAAGTGGGCCAGGTGCAGTGACTCACAACTGTAATCCCAGCACTTTAGGAGGCTGAGATGGGCAGATGACTTGAGCCCAGGAGTTCAAGACCAGCCTGCGCAACATGGCAAGACCTGTCTCTACAAAAATACAAAAAATACAAAAATTAGCCAGGCGAGGTGGTGTGCGCCTGTGGTTCCAGCCACTCGGAGGTTAAGGTAGGGAGGACTTCTTCAGCCCAAGAGGTTGAGGCTGCAGTAAGCTGTGATCACACCACTGCACTCCAGCCTGGGTGATAGGCAGGTATATGAGAACTCTCTGTACCGTCATCTCAATTTTTCTGTAAACCAAAAGTGCTCAAAAAACAAAGTTGTCTGGGCATGGTGGCTCACACCTTAATCCCAGCTACTTAGAAGGCCAACGTGGGAGGATTGGTTTAGCCCAGGATTTTGAGACCAGCCTGGGCAACATAGCAAGACCCCATCTCTACAGATAAATAAATAATTAAAGTCTACTAATTAAAAAAAAATAGGCCGAGTATGGTCGCTCATGCCTGTAATCCCAGCACTTTGGGGGGCTGAGGTGGATGGATCACTGGAACCCAGGAGTTTGAGACCACCTTGGGCAATGTGGTGAAACCCAGTTTCTACAAAAAATACAAAAATTAGTCAGATCTGGTGGCATGCGCCCGTACTCCCAGCTGCTTGGGAGGCTGAGGCAGGAGGATCGCGGAGGTTGCCGTGAGTGGAGATTGTGCCACTCACTGCACTCCAGCCTGGGCTACAGAGCTCTAAAAAATAAAAAAATAAAAATGAAGCTGGGCAAGTTCGGAGCTTAGCCTTCAGCCCCGCCCAGCACCCAGGCCCATACCTTGTTGAAGAGCTTGTTGTGCAGAGCCGTGGATGCCTTCCTCGTGACCTTGGTGAAAATCCCTGAGGAGCAGACCCCCACACAGATGAGGAGCAGGGTGTTGAGCGCATACACCAGCTGGTAGAAGGACAGTTGAGGATTGTCTGCCACGTTGCCTGGGTCTGCCGTGGTTCCATTGCTCTCTCGGCTGCTATTGGTCTTCAAGAAAGAACAGGGGGTCAGACTGCAGGTGTCCAGGGGGAAATTCAGTGGCAGGGAAAGCCTTCTCCCTGGGGCCACGTGAGACCCCGTGGATGGTAGAAGGTGAAGTTGTTTGCCCAAACCTCCCTGCTCAGCGCTTGGCTACTCTCTTTTGCCCTTCATTCCCACTGCCCTGCCCTGCACTAGGCCCTCAGAGTCTGCCCTGTGGACACTGCAGCAGCCGGGCCCTTGCACACGCTCTGCTGCGATGCAGCGAGAAGCTTGGGGACGTGATTTCCCGAAACCCCTCCTGGCATGGTTTCAGGCTAGATTCTGCCAAGGAGAGGCACCCACAGGGAAACAGAAAGGTGGAAGAGGAGAAGTCAGCACGCTCAGTGGCAACTGTGGGCAGGAGCGTGGGGTGTGGGGTTTTTCCAGAGGCTGGAAGGCATCCTGGGAATCACCCACTTCAGTTCAGCTGAGATCCCTGATGGCTGTTTCCCCTCCAATGGTTGACTGAGCCTCTAATTCCCTATATTAAATCCTCTGAAGCTCTAAATACTTAGAGTGGCTTCTGCTCTCCTGACCCAAACCTCCTGGTACACGATCCAGAAATAAACCACATGAAGCACTGTGGGGAAAGCATGGCTTCGATTAAGGGCACCAAGTTCAAGTCCCAGCCCTGTCCTGTCCTAGGGCAGGTTCTTCATCCTTTCTAGGCACAGGGTCCCCTTGGGAAAATGGAGACAGTGGAACTTGCCTCAGAATGTGGGTGGGGAGATTAGTGAAATAACTTGACACAGTGTGGCCGGTTGTGGCTCCCAGCTCACAAGACCAGAAATATATTTTAAATAAACCATAGTGTGGAGGCCAGCCTGGAGCTAAAGGAGACAGTTACTGCAGTGGAATGGAAAGATTCTTGGGGCACTGTCTGGGCATATAAATCTCTTGGTTTTCCAGTAAGACTGATCAGGTGACCACTCATTCTACAAAATCAGGAGGCCTGTGCGGGAGAACCCCAGAGTCCTGGCTCCCCATGGTTCTCTCTGGAACACCAGCTCTGGGCTTGTCATGTGGGTCCCAAGCCATGCTCTGGCTCTTGTGGTCTCAAGGAGCAAGAAGTCACCACACCTCACTCAAGCCCATAGAAACACAGCCCACCCACCTCATGGCACTCACCCCTGAGCCCTGCTCCAACCAGTAGCTCAGCCACCAGAAGCTGAAGATTGTGAAGAAGATGATCAGCACCATGAAGAAGAAAACTATGCAAGAGACCACGTAACCTGGGAGGGAGACAGTGGTGATGTACAAGTGCCACAAACAGGTGCGAGGCAACTGCTGACTCAGGTGCGAGGCAACTGCTGACTCAGCTGCTCAGCCATCCCTGTCTTTGAGTGCTTGGAAACCCTTGAGCCCCACCCACTGTGGACACCTTGGAGGAATGGGAAGAGCTGGGTTCCAAAGTCAGGGAGCCCTGGGTTCAAATCCTGGCTCCACCACTTCCAAACCGTGTGACCTTGGACAAGGTACCAAATGTCAGCAACATGCCACTTCTTTACCTATGAAATAGTGATAACCTTACCAGCTTCAGAGCCATGCTGAAGATGATATGAGATAATGTGTGTCAAGCACTCAGCCCAGTGTCTGGCAGAGGGCAGTGTTCTAGAGAAGTTCGTTCACCTTATGCAGGTCCTGCAGGTTCAGTTTTATAAGTAACAATAACAGCTACCTGTTATGTGGTACGCACCATGTACTATCATGTGCTACATGCCAGGAATAGTACTAAATGTATGCAGTATTTCTGAATTAGTAATTCCTATCCCCATTTTCAAAAGTGCTATTGTGTGAATGTATGTGTCTCCAAAATGTTGAAACCAAATTCCCAAGGTGATGGTATTACAAAGTGAGGCCTCTAGGAGGTGACAACCATGAGGATGGAGCCCTCATGAATGGCATTAATGCCCTTAAGAGGCTTCAGAGAGCTGCCTCCCTGGTTTTTTGTTCCTTTTACCATGTGAGGATACAACATTTATCCCCTCCAGGGACAATGGAGGACGCAGCATTCAAGGCGCCATCTTGGAAGTAGATACTGGGCCCTCACCAGACACCAAACTTGCCAGCACCTTGATCTTGGACTTCCCAGCCTCCAGAACAGTGAGAAATAAATTTCTGTTCTTTGTAAACTATCCAGTTAATATATGTTGTTACAGCAGCACAAATAGGCTAATAAAATGAGAAAACTGAATCTGAGAGGGGAACTACCTTGTCCAAACTCGCAGAGTTGGTGAGTGGCAGAGCTGGGATTTGAAGCAGTTAAGGGTGGGAAAAGGCAGGGTACACTCCTTCTTGGGGCACTGCTTCCTGCTCTAGCACTCCTCTCACCTATTTATGCTCACATGTCCCGTGCCTACAGTCTTTTCCCAAATTCTATCCTTCCTTCAAGGGTTGTCTCTTCTTTGATGAGATTTGAGATTCCCTGGCCACAGAGATCTCTCTCACCATCTGATGGAAGCAATGTCTTAATTCTCCAGCTAGATTTCAGCGATGGTTCTTAGATGACTTTATGCCCCCTCCCCTCTAGAGCTTGGCACAGGGCCTGGAACATAGTAGGCACTTTGTAAATACAGATCAATGTATGCTGCTAGATCCATTCATGCATTTCACAAGCATTTGCTGTTCCCTGCTCTGTCTGGGCAGGCCCTGGGTTACTCCTTGCAGGATACCCATGGTGGACAGGGCGGGAACAGTGTCCTGTGTACGCAGCCTACCTCTTCCTCCCCCAGGCATGCAGACAGCAGACATCTTACACAACGGTCAGCTTCCAATGTCAACGATGCGTAAAACGTTTCATGGAGTAAAAATAACTCTCAAAAATCTCTTAAATTACTTGATAAGTACAGCACCATATATTGAGTTTTGTGTTTACAACATTGTACAGTAAATATACATGATGATATACACCATTTAAGAAGGCAGTAGCTTTGAACTTCTAATTGCCTTCTACCTGCCTTAAGAAATAAAAATTAAGAAATTCTAAATCACACCAAAATAAAAGTCCCACCACTGTGACCTTATGCGATGTGGCTGCTATTTTCTATCCGATTCTATTTCATGTCTTTCAGTGCTGCTCATGATAAACTCAGCTGATTGCAAAACCCACTAAGGGAGCAGAGCTCAGAGTTTGAAAAACACTGAAATAATGAGGCAGGATGCGGTGGCTCATGCCTGTAATCCCAGCCCTTTGGGAGGCTGAGATGGGAGGATTACTTGAGGCCAGAAGTTCAAGACCAGCCTGGTCAACATAGCAAGACCCCATCTCTATTCTTTTTTAAAAAATTTTTTAAACTAAAAAAAATAGAAAAACACTGAAATAATGAGTATACATGAAAATATAACTTCCAACCTTGGCTTTGATGGTAGAGTTGCTATAACTGAGTAGAGTTTGGTTTTGCAAGTTAGGCCAATAAACACCATGGCTCCTCTGGACCTCTCTACTTCACATGACCTCACATGTTCTAATCTGACCCAGTTTCAGGGATAGGGCTGCTCCAAGAGACAGCCCTGGGCTGGCATGGGAACCATACCTCCAGCTGCCTGGATGTAGTGGTGGTAGACCCTCCAACTCAAGGAGCCTTCTTTCATCTCCTCCTCCTGTGTGAGCTGATGCTCCGGCACTGGGTCAGAGTAGAAGAAGAGAAAAATGGTATGCCTGCCAATCACATGATCTCCTTCCTTCTGTCTCTGGCTTCCATCCTGGGCCAGCTTTTCACCTTCTAGCTTCAGTGCCCCACCTGTGTCTAAGGTTTTTCATGGAAGACCCTGCTGAAAGAAACCTTTGACCTGGGCTCCAGAGCCTGGAAAGGGATCCATCCCTAACCATTCAATCAACTCTGGAGGGACTGCAGGGTCTCCTGTGTATGATGGACTGAGAGAAACGCAGGAAAGAATGAAGAAAACCACCTGGGACCAGAAAACCTGGGTTTCAGAACTGTCACTATGACACTGTGCAACATCAGGCAAATCACTTAACCCTTCTGTTCACTCGTCCAAAAAAATGGAAAGCTGAGAGGGTTGCTAAGTTGCCCCGCAGCCATACACTTCTGAGATAATGCTTCACAAAACAGCCCTGACCAGCCCAGGTGGACTCTTGACCTTGAGCTTGGCCTGAAAACCAGTACCTGGAGATGCCCATAGATGTTTCTGATGATAATTATAGCCATCACGACAGTGACTGTCTGCTGCTGCTGCCTGCTATTCTCCCTTCTAGTAACAACAGCCCAATATTTCCTGGGGAAGAGTGCTCTTTCTCTGGAATTTTAATCCTGAGGGAAATTACACCAGGATGGAAAGTTTTGGAGTAGGTTTTCTTCAAAAAGACTCAATTGGTGGCTGGGCACGGTGGCTCATGCCTATAATCCCAGCACTTTGGGAGGCCTAGGCGGGTGGATCACTTGAGGTCAGGAGTTCGAGACCAACCTAGGCAACATGGTGAAACCCGGTCTCTACTAAAAATACAAAAATTAGCCGGTGTGGTGGTGTGTGCCTGTAGTCCCAGCTACTTGGGAGGCTGAGGTACGAGAATTGCTTGAACCTGGGAGGCAGAGGTTGAAGTGAGCCAAGATCGTGCCACTGTATTCCTGCCTGGGCAATAGAGCAACACTCTGTCTAAAAAAAAGACTCAGTGGGAGACGGGAGCCTACAATGTAACAGGCCCTGTGTGGGGTTCTTCCCTATATCTGACCTCATCTAATCTCCACTACAACCCTGTGGAGTTAAGTACCATCATCTCCACTTTTGCCGAGAGTTCAGAGAGGTTAAGTTAGATGGCCAAGGTCACACAGCTTAGTAAGCAGCAGAGCTGGGATTCAAATCCAGAACTGTCTTACTCGAAAAATGGAAGTCGCTCCCTTCTGCTACTCTGCCCCAGACAAGAGCAAGGCCATGAGCTTCCAGACATCAGGGACTAAACCCAGTTCATTTCTGATCCCTAATACCTTTGCTCTCAATATTTACTGTCTTCCAGTGTGTAGTGAATGAATGTCTACATGCCTGGCCGAGCCTTAAATCTGTGCCATTCAGAGCCAAAGCTACCTCCTATCCTGCCTCTGCTGTGCACCCTCAGCTGTGCCCGCCGCAACACTCACTTCCTGGATCCTTCAGGCCTCCTGCCCAGCAGTCTACACCCCATGGCCCTCAACTACTTGGATCTGAACCCTGTGTATGTAAATGCTTAGGGTCTCAGACACTGAGGGTCATGGCCCAATCTGGGGTCTAGGAGGAAACACTGGGCCATCTGGAGGACCCAGGCAGGCATTCTTGTCCTGTCTCCCGCACCATTACCAGCATTTCCATTGAGAGACTCTTCCAAGGAGGTGGCCAGAGCCTGACTTTCTACCTGTGGCTTCTCTGCTATCTTTGCTGTGTCCTGCAACGTGACCTGGGGAGAGAGCACAGGCCCTGAGTGCACGTGCGTCCACGATGGGGAGTGAGGGCGGCGGGGCAGGACTCACCGATATGGCTTCTTTGTGCATCTTCTGGATAAGTTGGGCATATTTCCCCTTTTTCTGCATTAACTCACTGTGAGTTCCGTTTTCACAGATTTTTCCGTTTTCCAACAAAATGATCTGGTCACAAAATTCTAAGTACTGGACAGTCAGAAGAAAGAAAGCCTTCAGTGAGCACAGGGAAAGATGTTTGATTTTACTATTCACCAGGAAAATGTAAATTTAAATCACGATAAAATATTATTTCATACCAACAGATGAGCAAACATTTAAAAGTTGGACAACTCAAGTGTTGGTGGTGATCTGAGGTAAAAGGAACTCTCCTTAACTATCAGGAGGATTGTAGTTAAGTTAAGGAGAGTTCCTCGGAGAACTACTTTGGAGAACAATTTGACCTATTCAGTAACATGGAAGATTTTTGAAGTTTATGAACCAATGATTTGACTCCTAAAACTCTACCTGAAAATACTCTCAAACATGTGTACAAAGATACATGTAGAAGGATGTACACGGAAGTATTTTTTTTTTTTTTGTAAAAGTGAAAAATAAGAAACAATTGTTCATACTGGAGAAATAAATTCTGGTATATTCAGATATTGGAATGCTATACCAATGAGAATTAAATAAAGTTATGAAGCTGGGTGGAGTGGCTTACGCCTGTAATTCCAGCACTTTCGGAGGCCGAGGTGGGCAGATCACAAGGTCAGGAGTTCGAGACCACTCTGGCCAACATGGTGAAACCCTGTTTCTACTACAAATACAAAAATCAGCCAGGTATGGTGGCGTGTGCCTGTAGTCCCAGCTACTCCGGAGGCTGAGGCAGGAGAATTGCTTGAACCTGGGAAGTAGAGGCTGCAGTGAGCTGAGACTGTACCGCTGCACTCCAGCCTGGGCTGGAGTGAGACTCTGTCTCAAAATATATACATATATATCTTTATATAATTTTTTATATATATATATATAAAGTTACAAGTATCAACATGGAAGATCTCAAAAAACATAATGGTGAGGGGAGAAAAGGAAACTACCAAAGGGCACAGAAAGGAAAAAATAAATTCTATAAAATTCTATAAAGTTAAAAAATATGCAAAAGGAATTTCTTCTTGTCTAGAGATTCACGCATATGCTGTAAAAGTATGAAGACATGCATGGAAACAATAAACAATAAAGTCAGGAGAGCAGAAAGGAGGAACTGCAACAGAATTGGAGAGTGGAATCAATGTTTTATTGTTTAATCTGGGCGGTAGATACATGGGTTTTATTAATTATTTTCTAAACCTTGTTTAGGTTTTAAATATTTTATACCAAAAAAAAAATAGTAAAGCAAAAATAAGGAGCGAGAGAAAAAGAAACAGAAGAAGAAGGGGGAGAGAAAATAATAAGGCACTGTGGCCAATGCCATATGTGAAAATACTCAAGGGAAAATGACCCAGGAGAAGCAGCAGCAGAAGCAGTCATTGCACTGAGTTCATCGTCGGTAAGAAAACACACTGAGGTGGCTCTCAATCTAAGAACGGGAAACTTGAGGGATTCTTTTCTGACAGATTGGCTTCTTTTTCTTTTCTTTTCTTTTTTATTGATTGATTGATTTTCTTTGAGACAGGGTCTTGTTCTGTTGCCCAGACTGGAGTGCAGTGGCACTATCACAGCTCACTGCAGCCTTGACCTCCAGGGCTCTATCCTCTCGCCTTGGCCTCCCCAGTAGCTGGGACCACAGATGCACCACAACACCCGGCTAATTTTTTAAATTTTTATAGAGATGGGCGGTCTCTCTAAGTTGCCCAGGCTGGTCTTGAACTCCTGGCCTCAAGCAGTCCTCCTGCCTTGGCCTTCCAAAGTGCTGGGATTACAGGCATGAGCCATCGTGCCGGGCCTGTTTTCATTTTTTGTAACTTGAAAAGCAGGGGTCCACTCATAAAATTTTGAAGATAAAGGAGACCAAAAAATTTGTTCTTAATTTTTATCAGGACAAAAATCTTCTACCAGTCTGTTTGCTCTATGTGGAAAGCAGAGGACATCCAAGTTTTTTACAGCTCTCCCCAAATATGGAGTCTAGCCTGAGATGAGGACAGGTGCTGGGAGGCTGTCGCTGAATCACACTCTGAAATGGCAGAGGCTTGAGGATCTACGTTATCCATCAATCACAGTCAGAGCCCTGGAGGGGTTCTCACCTGCAGCTGGTGGGTCACCAGGACGACCGTCTTCCCCCTAAGTGTCTTCTTAATGCACTCCTCAAAAATGTGCTTCCCCACGTGGGCGTCCACAGCAGACAGGGGGTCGTCCAGCAGGTAGAGTTGACGGTCGGAGTAGATGGCGCGGGCCAGGCTGATCCTCTGTTTCTGCCCCCCAGAGAGGTTGAGGCCCCGCTCCCCGATCTGCAGACAGGCAGTAAAAAGCACCATGTCCAGAGAGCAAGCACAGCCAGGTGCGCTCAAATGGGTGGGCAGATGTAGCAGGCAGAACTCCCTCAGTACAGACCAAGATATGCACACACTCCAGGATACCTGATAATTTGGCATTCCGGACTTAAAAATACATAATGTATCTCACTCATATGTGGGAGCTTAAAAGCTGATCTCATGGAGGTAGAGAGTAGAATGACGGACACCAGAGGCTGGAAAGGATTTTTGGGGGTGGGGAAGGGGGGTGAGAATGAAGAGAGGTTGGCTGATGGACACAAACATCAAGTTAGATAGAAGGAATAAGTTCTAATGTTTGATAGCAGAATAGGGTGACTATAGCCAACAACAAGGTATTGTATATTTCAGCAGAGCTAGTAGACAGGAGTCGAAAAGTTCTCAGCACAACAGAAGTGATAAATACTCAAGGTGCTGGGTACCCTAAATGCCCTGACCTGATCATTACATATTCTACAGATATAACAAAATAGCACAGGTACCCAAAAAAATGCACAAATATTATGCATCAATAAAAATATTTTTCAAAACGTGGTTGAGATGAATAAATTGCTTCTCAATTAATTAAAAATCTTGTAACTCTCCATGTATCCCCTGAATCTAAATTTAAAGATACATAACTTTTAAAAACTTGTAACTCTTACTTAGATACAATTTTTCTAAGCCTATCAACTTCTAGGAGGCAAACATTAAACTACTAAAAATTCAGATAATAAAATAAATCACTCATTCCCAAGTAAGAGCACTGTCTCACATATTATTCTGGTTTTATGTATTTGGTTTTTTGAGGCAGGGTCTCCTCTGTTGCCCAGGCTGGAGTGCAGTGGCACCAGCAATCATGGCTTACTGCGACCTCCGCCTCTCAGTCTCAAGCGATTCTCCCATCTCAGCCTCCTGAGTAGCTGGGACTACAGGTGGTGCCACCACACTCAGCTAATGTTTTTAAACTTTTCTCTTTTTTTTTTTTTTTTGTAGAGATGAGGTCTCACTATATTGCCTAGGTTGGTCTCAAACTCCTGGGCTCAAGCAATTCTCCCACCTTAGCCTTCCAAGGTGCTGAGGTTACACTGGACCTGGCCTTATTCAGGTTTTTAATCTCCATTGACAGCACCTGTCAACTTGTGGGACCATTGGCCTGGATTAGGGGTGTCATCAGAGACTATTTGCACTGTGTGCACCCACTCAACAGACCAGAGCTGGAATGGCTGCAAGGAGCTTTACTGACGCTGGAAGGACCATCTCACAGGGCACCTGCTGTGATAGGAGTTGAGGGTGAAAACCCAAGTTACTGAGCATGTTTTGCAGATTAGCGCTCCAGGCAGCCGCCAGCTGGCCCATCCCTCCTTCAGGCTCTGAGGAAGTGGGAGCTGGAGTGTAAGTCCTAGTTCCTGTTCTATCCTGACTGCTTGAAGTCTCTGTAGAGAAGAATCAGAGTTGAAATGGTGGCAGAGAAACCTCCTGTCCCTGCCGTGCTTCCAGGTCACCACTGTGTGACCTTGGACAACCTGCTTGATCTGGCCAAAGCCCAGTTTCCCCATTCACTCATTTACTTATACATCAAATACTATTCAATGCCTACTGTGCTCTTACAATAGTAGTTATCACTTACTCTAGGCCGGGCACTAGTCAAAGCACTTTGCATTAACTCATTTAAACCTCAAAGCAATCCGATCAGGTCAGTACTCTTATTTATGCCATTTTACAGATGAGATCTCGTTCTTCCTATTGAAGAAACAACCTTGAATATGATCATTTAGCTCTCTGCCATCAAAGATGTATAGTCCCAGCTTTAAAAGAAGAAGAATAGGCCAAGCACAGTAGTTCATGCCTATAATCCCAGCACTTTGGGAGGCCGAGCTGGGTGGATCACATGAGGTCAGGAGTTTGAGACTAGCTTGGCTAACATGGCGAAACACTGTCTCTACTAAAAATGCAAAAGTTAGCCGGGCCTGGAGGCACATGACTGTAATCCCAGCTACTCAGGAGGCTGAGGTGGGAGAATCTCTTGAATCTGGGAGGTGGAGGTTGCAGTGAGTTGAGATCACCCCACTGCACTCCTGTCTGGGTGACAGAGAGAGAACGAGATTCCCCTTCAAAAAAAGAAGAAGAAGGGGAAGAAGACGAAAAAGGTAAAGAAGAAGAAGAAGAAGAAGAAGAAGAAGAAGAAGAAGAAGAAGAAGAAGAAGAAGAAGAAGAAGAAGAAGAAGAAGAAGAAGAAGAAGAAGAAGGAGGAGGAGGAGGAGGAGGAGGAGGAGGAGGAGGAGGAGGAGGAGGAGGAGGAGGAGGAGGAGGAGGAGGAGAAGGAGAAGGAGAAGAAGAAGAAGAAGAAGAAGAAGAAGAAGAAGAAGAAGAAGAAGAAGAAGAAGAAGAAGAAGAATTATTTAAAACTACCCTCCTGAGGTTATTGAGATTATTGTGACTCTCACCTAAGACACTATATTCAAGTCACTAGAATAGCACCTTGCATGTAGTAAGTGTTCAACAGACTGAGCTATTATTAGACCATTAAAATCAAGAAGGCAATGCCACTTTTATCGTGGGTGAGGGTCGTATGTGTATTAAGGTGACTGCAGATGTGAAAGATTGTGAATTATCAGGGAAATGTTACAGCCAGAAATTGCCCCTGTGGGTCATGGCTGATGTTGCACTGGCTGGAGTGGGGCAAGGGTGATGGGGGTGGGGTTCTCATCTTCACAGGGTCTCTGCTCTTGCTTCAGAAGAAGGAGCTTGAGGTCAGCTCTCCACCTCTGTGGGGTAAGGTACCCCCTTTCCTTTCCAGGTGCCTCTATAAGCTGAGCCCCAACCTCCCTCAGTGAGGGAAGCTTTGCTTCTCCTGCACCTGCTGCAGGAAAAACTCCAGCTGCTTTGGGAGGAAGAGCTGGATCCTTCCCCTCCCTGCCTGGGGAGGCAGCGTGAACATAAGAGCACCAACGTTACACAGAGCAAGCAGGCTTGCCTCCCTCTTACCTCTGTCATGTCTCCAAAGGGCAGAAGTTCCAGGTCCCGATTCAGGGAGCAGCAGTGGAGCACCTGGAGGTATCTGTGACGGACAGGGAGCCGTAAGGCACAGGGGACCAGCCCTCCTGCCCATCATCCTTTCCAGTGTCAAAAGGAGTAGTCTTGATTTTCATGCTAAGAAATTTAGACTTGATCTTGTGTTTAATGGTATACCACTGAAGGCTTTTTTCATTTCCTTCCCTCTTTCATTTCTTTTAAATTAATACACACTCTTAGTAAATATTTGACCGGAACAAAAAGATGCAATGAAAAGCAGTTCTCCTTCCCATCTTTGACCTTCATTTGCTTTTCTCAAAAGCGGCCACTCTTGGCTGGGTGTGGTGGCTCACACCTGTAATCCCAGCACATTGGGAGGCCGAGGAGGGCGGATCACCTGAAGTCAGGAGTTCGAAATCAGCTTGGCCAACATGACAAAACCCCATCTCTACTAAAAATACAAAAATTAGCTGGGCGTGGTGGTGCGTGCCTATAGTTCCAGCTGCTCGAAAGGCAGAGGCAAGAGAATCGCTTGAACTGGGGAGGTGGAGGCTGTAGTAAGCCAAGATCATGTCATTGTACTCCAGCCTGGGAGAAAAAGTGAGACTCCATCTCAAAAAAAAGCATCCACTATTACAGTGTCTTATGTATTTATTCAGAAGTAATCTATTCATATATGGATGTGTACTGCATGGTACTGCAGGTATAGGTTATTATTGCTTTAACGGCACTGTAGTATTCCATTATACGGTTGCACTATAAATTATCTAACCAGAGCCCTAGTGATGGAGATTGGAATTGTTTCTACTCTTTTGCTCCTGTGAGCAGTGCAGTGTGAACATCCTTGTATATGGGTCTTTGCTTCATGGGTGAAAATATCTGCACATTAAATACCTAACAGCGGATTTGCTGAGTCAAAGGGTTGGTGCGTTTTTATTTTAACAGATATTTCAAAACTTCTGTATGAGTTCTATCAGTCTCGCAGAAGACCATAAAGAAGAGCAATGACAGGACGAGAGCCGGGACTTAGGCTGATTGCCCTGGAGACAATCTTACGCGGGGTGGAACAGAGCAGGAGATTAGAGACAGGGACCCAAGGGCAGGGGCAGTGGGAACTGTTCAAACAAGAGATCACAGGCTGAACGAACTAGAAGCAGAGATGGAGAAGACAGAAATACAAGAGATATGTAGGAGACAGGCTTATTCACAATTGGTGACCAATTAGATGTGGAAGCACTCAGAGGAGGAGATATCTGGCTTCCCGGGGTGCAAGCTTTGGGTGATGTCATTAAACTGAGTTGCACAATTTGGGAAAAGAAGCCAGGTGTATGGGGCTGAGCAGGCAGGGTGCTCATGAGTTGGCATTGGACATGATTGTGAGGTGTACACAGGACAACCAGACAGAGACAGCCAGTTCCTACACCTCCATATCTATGTTGTTACCGGGGGCCAATTGCAAAACCAAGCAAACAGTCACAGGTCAGAGTCCACCATAGTTGGAAGCGTAGCTGTAGCATTCAGAGCAGTTTTCCTGGACCCTTCACTGAACAGGCTTCACTCATGATATCCAATCTCATGTCTTGGGCAGGTGAACCCGATAATTCTAGGGCAGGGAGAGGCCACAGAGGGAAAGGAGGGATATGGACAAGACTTGGGAGATCCACGGGGCCACAGATTCAAACCGGTTTCCTCTATGTCACAGAACCTCATCGCTCTCATTTGTTTTCCTTTTCACTTAGAGGCCAAGATTTAACGAATACAAATGAAGTTCTACTGTAGCAATTTTGGAGGGGGGAGAATGTATTGACTATTTTAAGCCAATACAGCATAATAGTTAAGCATGAAGTTTCTGAAAGCAACTGGGTTCATATCCGGGCTCTATCACATCCCACCACCTGGGTGACTTTGGGCAAATTATTTAACCTCTTGGGGCCTCAGCTGATTCATCTGGAAAATTGATACGATGGTATTTCTTTCACAATGAGGGGTGAATATGATAATGAGTGAAAGTGGAGCACACAAGTGTTAGCAGTTGTCAGGTTACCATTCAAAGCTGGAAGTGCCCCCAGACCAGCCACATGCCCTGTGCTCTCCCCTTCCCCTCCAGGAGCTTACCGGGCCTTGTCATATGGATCTCCCATGAGGATGTTCTCCCTGATGCTCCCGCTGACGATCCAGGCCTGCTGGGGGACATAGGCCAGGCTTCCCTGCACCCCCACTGAGCCCTCAAGCAAGTTCATCTGTGGCAGAATGAGTCCAGCCTTAGGACCAAGTGGGCAAAGGGACAGAGCCTGCCTGGCTCAGCAGGCACAGTGCCCACGGCCCCATTGCCCTCCAGGATCTTGGGGGCTCTCCTAGGTAAAAGGGACTTTTAATGTGGCCCTGCCAGGCCCACCAGCGAGTTGCAGGGACTGGCCATGAGAACATGTGGAAGCAGCTGGAGATAAGCCCAGCCAGGTCCTGCTTGGACTGAATCCAAGGTCTGCACTAAAGATACCCCAAACGTTTTTTCCTCTTATTTGTCCCAGCGCCATTCCCTGGTAGCCAGTGCCTCCATGGTCTTCACCGTGCACACCAAAATTTCCAGGCTATCTCTGAGCATGCCTGGGTATTATGGAATTATTATTGTTAGGTAGGATAATGTTATCATGGTTAGGTAGAAAAACGTTCTTCCTTTTGGACATCATGATGAAGTATTTAGAAGGGAAAGTGTTATAACCTGTGTAATTTAAAGCATTCTACAAAATATATGTCTGTATAGTAAGGTAAATATGCAAAAACTATCAACGGCTGCATCTAGATGGTGGGTATATGGATTCCTGCTGTAGTGTCCTCCAGCTTTTCTGTATAAGTTCAAAACAACACGTTAAAAACAAATAGAGATAGACATTCATCCCCAGCACCCTGACATGGGACCTCATCATTCTTAATCCTTTCTCTTTTATACCCTGACATGTTTACTTTACATGAGACTTTAACAAATAAGAACTTTAAAATGGCATCTCTGTGTCTTCCTTTATTAGAAGGAAAGTGACAGGCTTATTTGCATAGGAAACTGACAAACCACTGGGCGCGTAGGGAGGTGGCCTTGCCTGGAGGCTGCCGGGTGATGCTCCTGTGATGTAGAACACAGCTCTGACCTCAGGTGGACCTGGGACTCAGCCCTGGCTCACCCCTTACCTGCTGCATGACCTTGGATGAGTCACCTCTCAGAATCTCACATACTCATCTGTAAATGGGTCATCATGAGTGTGCCTTTGTCGTGGGAGGTTACCAGCGTTAAAGGGGAAAATGGAAAGCTCTTTGCACAGGACTTGGCATGTAAGTACTGAAGCTAGTTTTACTGTTTTTTTTAATGGAGTCTTTCTTCCTTGCAGTTGCGAAGAAACTGGGGAAAGGCCATCCCACATGCAGCACATGGCTGATGCGTTAAGAGAGAGCTGGCCTTGGTAACATAACCGCATTCCAAGGAAGGGATGAGTTTGGCAATGTTCATTTGGGAGAAGGAGCTGAGGGAAAAGCCGAAGAAAGGAAGGAAAACTTCTCCCAGTGATAGGGGAACAAGGGACAATGGGCAGAAGAAGAAGGGGGAAGAGATGGCAGCCCAGGAGGGGGTGAGGTTGGGGCTCTGTGGGGAAGGGCTGGTGTAAGACTCCTGCAGGAAGGTGAACAAAAATGTGTAGCAGGTGTCATAGGTGCTTTTAGTGTTCATTATAAGGTGTGCAGTGTGACCCCAAAGGATCTGGGGAATGGGCTTGGGGTTTTTTCAAACCGGAGAAATGGCCGGGCATGGTGGCTCACATCTATAATCCCAGCATTTTGGAAGGCCGAGGCGGGTGGATCACTTGAGGCCAGGAGTTGAAGACCAGCCCGGTCAATGTGGTGAAACCCGTCTCTACCAAAAAATACAAAAATTAGCTCGGGTTGCTGGCGCATGCCTGTAGTCCCAGCTACTCAGGAGGCTGAGGCATGAGAAACTCTTGAACCCTGGAGGCAGAGGTTGCAGTGAGCCAAGATCACGCCATTGCACTCCCAACTGGATGACAAAGCAAGACTCTGTGTGAAAAAAATGAAGAAAGAAAGAAAGACAGAAGGAAAGGGAAGGGAAAGGAAGGGAATAGAAAACGGAAAGAAAAGAAAGAAAAAAGAAACTGGAGAAAGGGTGTGTGAACCACATGTCCACATGGCAGCAGACCTCAAACTTGTCCACAGGGGATGGAATGAGGGGTTCAAATCTCAAGGGCAAGTGCACCTAGCAGGCATATGTACCCCACTGCCAGAGTACGAGTAAGACTGCCCCATCCCATCCAGCAGGACTCCTCTCCCCAGCCTTCCTTCCTTCTTTCTCCCTATTTCTCCCCCAACATTTCTCTTCCGATCCCGTCCTAAAAGGCACAAACATCCCACTCTCAATGTTATGAGTTTGGCTTTATAAAATGATTTTATGCTCTTTTTTTAAAGGAACCATTGCAACAGGGTATTGCAGTGTGGAAGAGAGATTGGACTCAATTCCCTGTTAAATAATTTGTATGATCATATTAACTTTGAGTTAATATCCTGTATCCTCACAGAGCACAGGTGAGGACAGATCTCCAGGTGATGTAAGAGGCAGCCCGCACCAGGAGTGCTGCCACAAGGTGAAGAGAAAGGGCCACCTTGATCACACACCTCCCACACAGTGCAAGCACAACCATTTTTCATTTATAAAAACCCCACTTGCTCAGACCCCTGTGAGGAAGAAAGCAGTGGGGGACCCTGCCTGGGGCACTGGAGCTTGGGAGCGCCTGGACTGCTTGCGGACAGGTACGCATGTGGCCACAGATCACTTACCTCCCCAAGGATGGCTGACAACAGGCTGCTCTTACCACTCCCCGTGTTGCCGCAGACCCCTAACATCATCCCCTGCAAGCCAAGGAGGACACACAAGTGTTGGGACAGCACAGCCCTGGCATATCCACCTGCTCAGGGCGGCTCAACTGTTTAGAACCCAAAACAACACACAGAAAACAAAACAACCACACAGAGCCCAAGACTCCTCAGACAAGCAAAGCTCAAGAGGAGCTTTGCGTTTAGTCCCTGGAGGCAGGAGGGGTGGCCCGAGAGGAAGCAGATCACAAGGAAAAGGCAGAGGGGAACTCAGGGGTAGGTGGCAAGAACCCTGAATTCCAGATTGGTGTCTATTCTATGCAGCAATCCTGGGAAAGCCACTTAGCTTCTCTGGGCCTCAGTTTCTCCATCTGTGAAATGGGAATAAAGAAGCCAGTCTCACAGAATTTCATGCATGCATTTATTCAAACATTCATTCATCCATCAAATAGTGATCTGAGTTTCCTCTATGGACCCAGTAATGAAGAGAAGACCTCACATTGAGCTTAGAACGTAAGCTGAGGGGATGGGAAGACAGACAGACTACATAAATAAATAAATAAATAAATATCAGATAGAGATAAGTGATATGAGTAAAATGAAGTCGGCTCTTATGACAGACAGAGAGTTGGGGTTGAGTCAATTTTAGACGACTCAGCCAGGGAAGGCTTCTACAGAGCAGGCGTCATTGCTGCCCCAGAGCGGTGAGAACTCTAGTGGGGAAGAGGTCAGAGGTACAGGTACCGATTTGGAGGAACCCGGGCTCTAAGGGCAGTGAAAAGTCACTGAAGGGTTTAAGGAGAGTGACTTGAATTGGTTTACATTTCAGAAAGATCCTTCTGTCATAGTATAATACAGTAGTCCCCAACCTTTTTGGCACCCGGGACCAGTTTCACGGAAGACAATTTTTCCACAAACTGAGGGTTGGTGGAGGATTGATTTCAGGATGAAACTGTTCCACCTCAGATCATCAGGCAAGATTCTCATAAGGAGCAATCTGGATTCCTCGCATGCATACTTCACGATAAGGTTCGCGCTGCTATGAGAATCTAATGCTGCCGCTGATCTGACACAAGGTGGAGCTCAGGCGGTGATGCTCACTGGCCTGCCGCTCACCTCCTGCTGTGCGGCCTGGTTTCTAACAGGCTGTGGACCAGTGCAGGTCTACCACCCAGGTGTCAGGAACCCCCGGTATAATGGATTTTGGAGGCTCAGAGAGACAGAGAGTGGGAGTGGGGTGAGAGACACAAACTACCTATTGGGTACAATGCACACTATCGAGTCCCAGGTGCACTAAAATCTCAACTTCACCACTATACAACTCCTCCGTCTAACCAAGACCCACTTGTACCCCAAAAGCTATTGAAATAAAAAATACATATTAATTATTTAAAAAAGGAAAATCCCTCTGTCTGCTGCATGGTAAAAGGCTCATAAGAAGGCAAAAGTGGGAGCAGAGAGGGGGATAAGGAGGTTCTGGGAGCGGCATGACAGTGGCAGGGATAGGGCAGTGGAGGGGCTATGGTGAGGGCGGCAGGTTCGGGGCAGATGTGGAAGTCAAGCTGATGGCCTTGCTGGTGGATTGGATTCGAGGGAGGGAAGGAAAGGAATCAAGTGTGACTTCCAGGTCCTTGACCACTGGAAGGATGATGGTGCCATCTCCCAGGAGAAGGAAGATTTAGGGAACTCATTAAAGGGGGTGAATATCAAAACCTTATTTCATTTTAAATGCTTGATGGACATTTAAGAGAGATATTATATATGCAATCGAGTCTGGAGTCCAGAAGAGACTTCAAAGTTAGAGATAATAGCACAGAGATAGAATTTAAAACCATAGGGCTAGAGATGATCACCAAGGAAAGAAGTATAAATAGATAACAGACAGTAGATATTAGATATTAACACCTATTACTATTAGGTATTATCTAGTTTTTAGACATTTATCACTACATATGAATATCAATATCTATATCTATTCTATGTCAATTATTATTAGATATCAATATCTACGTTAATAGATAACAGAGAAGAAAAGAGGAGGGGCGAAGAGGAGACAGCAGGAAGCTAATCTTTGTAAACATCAGGCAGAGAAAGAGCCAGATAAGGTGAGTTCACAGAATAACAGAATTCAAACACAGGATAGTGCTTGGCACATACGAGGAATGTAATAAATGTTAGCTGAGTCTCCTTTCCCTTCTCCTTTCTGTGTCCTTGGTCCTTCCAAGGACCAGCACACAGTGCTCTCACATTATTTTGGGTCTTACCTAAGCCAAAAAAATTTTACATGATAGATTAATTCACACTAAAAAATGGAAGATACCTTGTATTTGCCCTCCATGAAAAATTTGAATTTTAAAGGGAGAGATCTTGGAAAGGGCAGTTTTTAACCAAGGATATGGTGGGGCACCTGGCCAAGCCCCCAGTCTCAGGTCCTGAGCGCCTGGCAGGCAGCCTGCCTGCATGGCCTGAACAAGGCTACCTTGGACACCACCAGGTTGATCTTGTGCAACTCTGGGCCCAGGCTCTTCCCTTCTTCCTCTGGCTCGAGGGCATCTCTAGGCCTGGTCACCCCCTCAGAAGCGTGTCCATTCCTCTCCAGCTCCAATGCCCCATTGACGATCCCAGGACAGGTCTGTCGCCAAGACAAGGTGGCCTCTTCCAAGACCAGAGCTTTGCTGGGGTCTTGTAATGTCTGGACATAGAAAACAGGGCTCTCCTGGAGGAAAAACTTCTGAAAAGACAAAAGGAAATAGAGGGAGGAGGAATGCAGTTCTTTAGTTCAGCAGGAATGTGTTCCCAGTTTTACAAGCCTGCCAGTTGGTATGGTTTTCTGAATTTCAAATAAGCAGTAAAAGTTTGCAGAAGTACCACCAGTTAGGAAAGGCCAGTTTCTGTGGGTGACAATTCTAGGTCAGCGTTTTCCAAATTTCAGAGCACAGGGCTGCTCTTCCATATTTGCAAACACTGCGCTATCAACGGCAGGAGGTTGACTAAGGACTAACCTACATTAGCCTCATCCCAAGTGATGATAGCCATTGACTCATAAGACTGATGTTTTTCTAATTAAATTCTTTTAATATTGGGCTGGACATAATCGCTCATGTCTATAATCCTAGCACTTTGGGAGGCCAAGTTGGGGGATTGCTTAAGCTCAGGAGTTTAAGACCAACCTGGGGAACATAGTGAGACCTCCATCTCTTTAAAAAAAAATTCTACTTGTAGCTATTGAGAATAAAAACTCTGTCTGTGTCCCACACTGGGGAAAGGTCATTTGGGGTCATACATTTCAAAAGGTGACCATCAGCAGGTCACTTCTCTCTGCATCTCCAGCTCCCTGTCTATAAAGCACAAGGGTTGAACTACATAAATTCTAGCAATCAAAAGAATGGGAGGGGAGTATGATCCTACAGAAGTCAGGATTACATTCAAATAGGCCTACCTGGAGATATGCTTAAGAGATTTAGAAGGATGCTTCCTGACATTTTGGACTCTCTTACCCATCCTTCTGAGCTCTGATTGCGTCTTCCTCATCTCTGCCCCCACCACAGGTGAAAACAGGCACAGAAGGGGAGAATGAATGGACAAACCCAGTGTCCCATGGGAAGGAAGGCAGCGGCAGGAGCCTTCTCACAGCTGCTGAGAAGTCAGGGAAGCGCGCTGGGCTGGTGATAAGCAAAGCACTGTTTGTGTTACTCAGAGCAGCCAAGTTCGTTCCAGCCTCAGGGCTTTCACACTTGCTGTTTCCTCTGCCTGGTCATCATCACTCAGTCACCTTGGCAGGGGCCTTTCCTAACCAGGCTCTTCCCAGGAGCCCCCAGCCCTCCCCAGCATACTCCCTAGAACAGGCATGTCCAATCCCTTGGCTTCCCTAGGGCACATTGGAAGAAGAATTGTCTTGGGCCACACAGAAAATACACCAACACCAGCGACAGCTAATTAACCAAAAAAAAAAAAAAAAAAAAATCGCAAAAAAAAAATCTCCTGTTTTAAGAAAGTTTACAAATTTGTGTTGGGCCACATTCAAAGCCATCCTGGGCCACATGCGACCCGTGAGCTGCAGGTTGGACACGCTTGCTCTAGGACATCACATTGTTTTATTGGCATCATGGTTCTTCATGTGATCTGATCGAATCCTCTTTGATCATTAATTTACTTATTAATTGTCTGTTTCCAATACCAAATCGGAACTCCCTGACAGCAGGGACCCCTGTTCAATGCAGTATTCTCAGTGCCTAGCTTGTGGTAGGAGCTCAATAAATATATATATATATTTTTTTGCATTAATGAATGAATGAGTGAATGAGTGATAATAGGTCGTGGACTGCATGTACATAAAAGTCGGGTGACTACAAAATGACTTTTAAAAATTGGTTTAGATTAGGGTTTTCAAACTTAGATGCCAACTATATAAATAAGTGAAGTGGACCATTTCTAAGATGATACATGATCATTAAAATGCAGCTCCAGGCCTGGAGGTATAATAGGGTATGGTAGAGACTGCAGCAAACTGCAGCTAAATGCCTCCATCTAAACAGGGCAGCTATCACCTCAACTCCAGCTGCTTGTGGCCATGGTAGATTGTGGTCCAGGGTCACTAGATCTTCTAATCATTCAAGAGAATTCAAAAATCTGGGTTTTCACATAAAATGTCCAAGTGTTTCAATGCAAGCAACATCTATGGTGTTTTTCTAAAACAAAACTATCTATCAGGGTAACTCTATGCAAACCTGGATAAAGTCTGCAGAGCATCTGTCTGAGACCTGGTTTAGACACACTATCCTAAGATCTCCTTGGAGACTGAGACCTGACCCAATTCATCTGTCTTCCCAGGCCCCACACCAGCCTTGGCACAGGAGGTCACTGAGTTAGCTAATCCCTCTCTCAACCTAGGCCTTGGCCAGGTGACATGTTCGGGAGGAACATCACAGGGGCTGAAGGCAGAGGAGCGTCCAAGCAGGGGGCCTACAGCCAGTCCCCTGACCACCTACCTTGAACCTCATCACCGCAGACTTGGAATTCGTGAGGCCTTTGACTGCTAAGGGCACAAAGAACACTGACAGCCGAAGGAGAGTCAAGGAGCCCAGCATGCTGAAGGCCTGGATAAGAAGGGGAGGAGGCAGTAAGGGTCGTGGCCCTTCCTGCTTCCACCATTCCCTGGCACCCGCATCCCTGAGCCGTATCCTCAGCATCCAACAAGCAGTTGGTTCCTCCAACAGAGGCTAAGTTAGTGTTTAGGGGGAGACTGGAAAAAGCTGGGGAAAGAGCACTCGTCTTGGAGTCTTAGAGTTAAAGGTCTAGTCCCTGTTGCAGCTTAGCCACTGACTTCTCTAGCTTTGGGCAGGTTGCCCCTACCGCATCCCAGTTTCCCCACTGGCATAGTGAGAAAAATCATGAAGTACATACAGGAATAAAGTTGGGAAACACCAAAAAAATTCATGTGAGTGAGCATTGCTTCCTTTCAATGGAGCTTGGTGCTATTCTTGCTGTCAAGGTCCTATTTCTTCTTCTTTGCCTTAGATGTTTGTTTTCTTTCTAACATTCAACATCTCCTTACCCTTCATGCCTAACCCCTGCTGCACTGTGACTATAGCAAAACACCTTAGGCTCTCAGGACCCCAGAAGGTGCCCTCCTGGAGGTGCTGAAAGAACCTTCCAATCCATGCCTCTCTCTCCTCCTTTCTTCTCCTGGCTCCATCCAAAAATGAACTCCAGTGGAGCAGGAATGCCTTGGTCTAGACCTGCCTTGTGTCATCTCAGTGTCAGCCTCAAGTGCCTCTGAAAGTATTCCTTCTATAGCGCCCCCAACACCCTCAGAGTTCTCGGGGTTGTTTCCCTGGTGCATGCCTGAGCCAAGCAGAGGGGCCAGCCATCTGGGGCACACACAATCCCTTGACCGCAGACTATCAAATGTTTCCCTTCTTGCTCTGGGTGCTGCCTCCTGGCTTCCCCGGTTGGATTACCACCCCTCCAAGAGTGGCACCCTGTCTTATTCTGCTCAAAGAGCTGGGATTCCTAACCCTGTAAGGCAGCTGCCACTTCTCAGGGCCGGGTTCTGACCATGAAGGGAAAGACCAAAGAAGCTATACCTTTGTATTTGAAGTGCACTTCCGGGGCCCTTATTTAGGGATTAGAGGAACTGCTCAACCTCAAGGTGTAATTCAAATTGTCAGAATTTTAACTACAGGGACGACCTCCCCCCCACCCCTGATGGGTCTGCTGTCCAGTCCGCCCACAGGGCTGTCCAAGATGTCACTTTTTAAGATGGGTTGAGATGGAAGACAGCGCTGTACTTTTGTCTGGAAAATCAAAATGAATATATAGTGTTCATTTACAAAGCCTTCAGACCTTTGAGGGGTATGGCTAAAAAACGACACATGAGAAAACTCCCGATCATGATGGGGAGAAAACAAAGCCCCCCAAACCCTTACCGTTGACGTTGTGAGTTTCAACTTCAAGGATGTGTGGACGAGAATCCAGACTGCTGTGGCCACTGTGGGGATGACGAACAAGGCTACAGTGGTCAGGCTCTGGACAAGCCCGCACTTCTCCAATAGTTTCCTTTCCTTCCTTCTTAGGTCTGGGAAATAAAAAAGAAATACACCAAAGATAACCACAAGAACATTCTCCAAAGAGCATAGCACCATCCCCAAAGCATCAAAAAAAAAAAAAAAAAAAAAAATCCCCAAGAGGTGAGAGGGACTTGGATCACCATGCCGTCATCAGGTTTGGAGAAGAAGGCCAGACTTTCCATACCTTCAATGATTTTTGTAAATGGTTTCTCCCATGTGTACATTTTAATCAGCTTAATGCAAGTGAGAACTTCACTGGTCACACGAATGCGCTGGTCGCTGACCTCAGATGTGTCATGCTGAGCCTTCACAGCCATTCTTGTCACGAATACCTGGAGTCAGGATACAGCAAGTTTGGAGTTGATCTGCAAGGGCTTCCTTTGACAAAGGCAGGAGGGTTCAGTCTGGCATAAGTAGGGCAACTGGGTGTATTTCCAAAGAGAGGTTTTCCAGTCGAAGCTCTCCAGGCCACCATGCCTTAGGGCATCCCAGGGGCCTTTCTTTCCTGAGTCCCAAGCCAGGCTGTGGCTACTGAGACAGAAACTAAACTGAAATGGTTCCTCTGTCTTCTGGAACCATAAATCCTCTAATAATTAAAATCACCTTTCAATCAGAGTGCCTGCACTCAGGAAAACACTCAATTTCAATAATTCAGAGCACACACAATCCAAGAGTCATTTCTGCTTTCTCAATTTTATTTCACCTGAATCTTTGGCAACAAATGTGCTTCCCTTTCCCCATTATACTGTGCTCAGACAAATGTTAAATGGTGGCTGTGTTATTACAACAGCACATTCTGGGTAGAAGAGATGGAACAAAAATCTTGCACAGAGATTATCTACAAAGGAAAGCTGTCAAAGCAGATAATCTCCCATAGAAAGCTATGAGGTAGACTTTGCACATCACATTCAGCTCTTATTTACTTATTAACCAAATGTTGTGACCAGAGAATAGTTTGAGGTAGGGAGTGGAGCTGAATCTTATCCACAATGGATTGAAAGGTCAACAAGAATCAACGTTCTCACTTAGAGCTATCCCAGATTCCAGAGCCCTGGGACTTCTGGGGCCCAGCATCAAATGGGTGACAAAGAGAGACATTACCTCCAGTGGGAAAACCAGGAGAAAGCATAAAATGGCAACAAATGCAGTGTATCCAATAATGAAGTAGGAAGAAATGCTGCAGATGACCAGTGATGCGCAGCTGACCAGTAATAGGGGTCCATAACACACCCCTTCAAACAGGTAGTTTATGTCACTGGTGAAGAAGCCGATGGCCTGCAAGACAGCAAGTCCACGGGCACAGGTGTCACCTCCCTGGGTACCCAGAAGTGGTGGCAGGTGGCCTTCCCATGCCCTCTCCTAGCAGGAAGGCTTGAAAGGCAGGGTGGAAGAGTAGAGGCAGACACCCCAGGTTCACATCTTTCTTCTCTCTGTTTGTGTGACCCTCAACAAGTTACTTCACCACTCTGAGCCTCAGCTTCTCTATCTGTAAAGCTGGAATAATTATACATACTTTATATGGGTTTTGTGAGATTTCAATGACATAGAAAGTGTCTGCACACATAGAATGTGATCAATAAAAGGGATATTTTACTACGATTAATACCACTATTACTACTGCTACTGAAACCATGCCCCAAAGAGTTAAAGAAACCAGTGACTAACAGATATTCTTGAGTTTTTAGGACAGCAGTTACAGAAAGAAACAACTTGCTGAAAGTCCCTCTGCTTGTAAGATAACAGATCTGGCTAAAATTGGTAGAACCAGTATGGCTAACTAGAGTCTGTGCAGAACCAGTTTGCTAACGTCACAGCCTAAAAATTTCCACCACATGTTTCATACTAATTCCCCATGAATTTGCAAATGGGACCCAGGAAGAGACATGAAGAGATCACTGCATATATACAAGGGCTTTTCAGACCTCCCCTCTCATTCCACCAATCACTTACTAATCTCAGAATCCACTCCTTAAATCTTTCCTAATAAAATCGCTGTCTTAAAGCAAGCACAAGGAGACAGATCTGGGCTGGACTCCTGTCTCCTTGTGAGCCAACTTGCAATAAAAAGCTTTTCTTTTCTCAAAAACCCAGTGTCAAAGTATTGGCTTCTAGAACATTAGGCAGTGAGCCCCTTTGCTTAATAACACCACTAATATCTATATTCCAGAGAATTGCTTCCATTCTTCACTTGATTCTATTCATTCTACTACTAATAATAATATTAATTAAATGTTCTCCTTTTTTTTCTTTTTTGTTATAGATTCTTCTGCCTACTTCCCTCCTCCCACACGTACTGTGTGGGAGGTACTGTTATGGCTCAACGCTATATAAAAAGTAACATTTGGCCGGGCACAGGGAGGCCAAGGTGAGTGGATTGCTTGGGCCCAGGAGTTTGACACCGGCCTGAGCAACATGGTGAAACCCCGTCTCTACAAAAAGTAGGAAAATTAGCCGGGCATGGAGGCACATGCCTGTAGTCCCAGCTTCTCAGGAGGCTGAGGTGGGAGGATCACTTGAGCCCAGGAGATCAAGGCTGCAATGAGCTGTAATCATGCCACTGCACTCCAGCCTGAGCAAGAGAATGAGACCCAGTCTCAAAACAAAAACAAAAACACAAAAACTTACATTCCAAATCAGGAAATCTTTAAAGAACAATTCACTAATGTTTTCTAGAATTACAAGTCTGAATCCCTTATAAAGTGATTTGCTTTTAACTTTCACCTAAACTCCTTCTAGTTTCTAGGACGTGCCCTAGTGGGAGTCTTTAAAACTTTTAAAAGTACTTTAGGGAGCAAAAATTGGTATAGCCACTCTGAAGGGCAATTTTAAAGTATCTTTTAAAATTAAAAATTGCACAAAACTCTATGATCTGGCAATTTCATTTTTCTGTTGAGAAACATTCACACATGTTAGATGAAGCACATACAAGGATGTTCATTACAGCACTGCTTACACCAGCCAAATGCTGGAAACATCCTACAAGTTGGTGGAAAAGGATTTAAAAAGTCCACCCCAGGCTGTGCTAAGTGGCTCACATCCATGATCCCAACACTCTGGGAGGCTGAGGCAGGAAGATTGTTTGAGGCCAGGAGTTCAAGATCAGCCTGGCAGCATAGCAAGACCCCATCTCTAAACAAAATTAAAAATTAGCCAAGCATGGTGATGTGTGCCTGTAGTCCTAGCTACTCAGGAGGCTGAGAGAGGATGATTGCTGGAGCCCGGGAGGTCAAGACTGCAGTGAGCTATGATGGCACCACTGCACTCCAGCCTGGGTGATAGAGTGAGAACCTGTCTGAGACAACAACAAAGTCACCCCAGAAGTAGTAGGTAATCTTGGGTCCTAGAGCTAAATTGTCAGAGCTCATGCCCCAGTCTTGTCATTTACTAGCTGTGCAACCATAGACAAGTTACTCCACGTCTCTGTGCCTCTGTCACCTCATCAGTGAAATGGAAATAATACTACAAGCTACTTTCTCATACTGATTTGAGAACGGTGCTAGATAATGCATATATAACACTTTATTCGGGTACATCGAAAGTACTGTAATTATGATTCAGCATCACTGAAAAAAATAATGATATGGTTTCGCTGGGTTCCCACCCAAATCTCATCTTGAATTGCAGCTCCCACAATTACCATATGTTGAGGGAGGAACCCAGTGGGAGGTAAGTCATGGGGGCAGGTCTTTCCCATACTATTCTCGTGACATTGATTAAGTCTCACAAGATCTGACGGTTTTATAGCGGGGAGTTTCCCTTCACAAACTCTCTCATTCTCCCTTGTCTGCTGCCATGTAAGACGTGCCTTTCACCTTCTGCCACAATTGTGAGGCCTCCCCAGCCACGTGGAACTGTGAGTTCACTAAGCCTCTTTTCCTTTATAAATTACTCAGTCTTGGCCAGGCACGGTGGCTCACGGCTGTAATCCCAGCACTTTGGGAGGCCAAGACAGGTGGTTCACGAGATCAGGAGATGGAGACCATCCTGGCTAATATGGTGAAACCCCGTCTCTACTAAAAATACAAAAAATTAGTCGGGCGTGTTGGCAGGCGCCTGTAGTCCCAGCTACTCGGGAGGCTGAGGCAGGAGAATGGCGTGAACCCGGGAGGTGGAGCTTGCAGTGAGCCGAGATTGCGCCACTGCACTCCAGCCTGGGCGACAGAGCGAGACTCTGTCTCAAAAAAAAAAAAAAATCCCCCAAAAGCTATGTTCTACATTTTCTATTGCAAAACCAACAGGAGGACACTATGTAAAACATAGTACCATTTACATAAAAATACACAAACACAAAATCCAATGCTTTTCATGGGTAACTTGCATGTGTACCTAAATGGACTTTTGTTTTTGTTTTTGAGATTGGGTCTCACTATGTTGTCCAGGTTGGAGTGCAGTGGTACAATCTCGGCTCACTGCAACCTATGCCTTCTGGGCTTAAGCCATCTTCCTTCCTCAGCCTCCCAAGTAGCTGGGACCACAGGCGCATGCCACCACGCCCAGCTAACATTTTGCATTTTTGGTAGAGATGGGGTTTCGCTCTATTGCCAAAGCTGGTCATGAACTACTGAACTCAAGCGATTCATCCAACTTGGCCTCCCGAAGTGCTGAGATTACAGGTGTGAGCCACCGCGTCCAGTCAAATGTGCTTTAAAAGGTCTGAAGGACAAAAACCAAGTTGCTAATGGTGCTAACCTCTGGCATAGGGGAAGAAACTAGGCCTAAGGCAACTTCTATACTATTTTATTTTGTTTCCAAGGAGAATGTATTCAGATCTTTTTAAAAAATTAATTTTAGTGCAAGAGAAAAGACAAAGAAATGTTTTTAAGTAAAAAAAATTTTTTTTAATTAATTTAAAAATAAAACATAGGCTGGGAGCTGTGGCTCATGCCTGTAATCCCAGCACTTTGGGAGGCCAAAGTAGGCAGGTCACCTAAGGTCAGGAGTTTGAGACCAGCCTGGCCAACATGGTGAAACCCCATCTCTACTAAAAATACAAAAATTAGCCAGGCATGGTGGCACACACCTGTAGTCCCAGCTACTTGGGAGGCTGAGGCAGGAAACCCAGAAGGCAGAGGTTGCAGTGAGCCAAGATTGCACTATTGCATTCCAGCCTAGGCAACAATAGGGAAACTCCAGCTCAAAAATAAATAAATAAATTTAATTAAATTAAAATGTATAAGCAATTGCCTAGAAATCCTTACTTCAGAAATTACTTCCATCTCCACTCTCAAATAGACCACTTTGTTTTACGCTTCTATGAAGATGTTTGAGGAAACTGGATTTTGCATACAGCAGGTGCTCAGAATACCCAGAAAGGAACCAAGCTAGGCCTTAGCACAGGGTTCCTTAGTGAGGCAGGTGATGGCAAGGGTTGAAGACCTGGACTCTGCAGCCAGGCACCATGTCCAAATTCAGACCCCAGCACTTAGCAATCACATGACCTTGTACAAGTTACCTACTCTTTCCTTGCCTCAGTTTCCTCCTTTGTGACAATGGGGACAATAACAGAACCTGCCACACAAGAGGGATGTTAGAGAACTGATCAAGCCAATGTAAGTAATGACTTGGAGCAATGTATGGCTAAGAGTGAGTTAGCGGTTGTTACAATGACTTTCCTGAGATAAACAGGGAGATCTTTTAGCTGTCGGTCAAGTGCAGGAGAACAGTGGAGCTCAAGGCCTAATAGAAACTAATACTAATTGTACAGCTTACACGTGTCAACCACTACTCCTTGTCTACATGCTTTATATGTACAAATTCACTGAATCCTATGAGACAACAATCCTATGAGGTTGGTTCTATTATTATTCCACAGCTTCAGAGAGGCTGAACAAGTTACCTAAGGCCACAGAACCAATAAAATGGTGAACAATAATAACCATGATGATTCCAATAAATACGTAATGTTTGTCAGTGCTTGCATTTATGGAGCCCCTCTACTTGATGACAATGAATAATTCAGCAGATGTTTTTGGAACATCTGTTCTGTGTAATTCAGGTGTTGAGCCTTCTGAGAGACAGAGTGGTGAATCTGAAATGGTTTGTGTCTTTGAAGGGGGCTCATATTAGTAGGGCAGCCAGATTTGTGCAAAAAGAACTGCAAATGCTTAGCAGGGAATGCCAGTAGAGGGCTGGGTTTGGAGATCCTGTCATGGAGGAGAGGAAAACTAAACTGGGTCTTGAAGGATGAGTAGGATTTTTAAAGGGCTGGGAGTAGGAGTGACATGAGCAAAGTCACCAGGAGGTGGACGTGTCCAGTGTATTTGAGCACTGAAGGTTAGCCAAGCCTAGATGACAGGAGGAAGTAAAGCTAGGGCTAGAGGAGAGGACATGGGAAGAGATGAGGCTGGAAAGGGGCTAATGCCAGATCACAAAGGGGTTTGGCTTAAAGGAAAGGAGCCAAAGCAGTGTTGCCTTTTCCAAAAATTATGGTATCTGTTTGAATATCAAAGTAACCCACAACCCTTGAGGCAATTGGTAAACCACAGAAAAATAGAGATATCAAAATGAAATAGATGAAATCCCAGTATCCTCCATAACTATAGGTCCTAAGTTGGAGTATCTTCCTCCATTTCTGTCAATGCTTGTGCGTGTTATGCTGTAAAAGAAAAGCAAGAGTAACAATGGACAGTAACAATAACCAGGCAGGTGAAAGGATTCCTTTTTTGCAGATAAGGAAATTAAAACTCTGAGATGTTACCAAGAATTGCTTTTCCCAAAAGATTTCCCTAAGCCATCAAGTCTTCCCATACCCTCACCCTCAGGTTGGCTTAGGGGATGCACTTTCCAACATGCTTCTACTTGGGATTTGTGTCTTTTTGTTAAGGGGCCTATTCCCAGGGTCTAGAACATAATCTGGCTCAGAAGAGGCCTCAGTAACTATCTGGTGTGTGTATGTGTGTGTGTGTGTTTGAGACAGGGTCTCGCTCTGTCACCTAGGCTGGAGTACAGTGGTGTGATCATAGCTCACTGCAGCCTTGAACTCTTGGGCTCAAGTGATCCTCCTGCATTAGCCTCTCAAGTAGATGGGACAACAGGTACACACCACCATGCCTGGCTACATTTTGTCTTTTTTTTTTTTTTTTTTTTGAGACAGGCTGTCACTCTGTTGCCCAGGCTGGAGTGCAGTGGTGTGATCATGGCTCACTGAAGCCTCAACCTCCCTGGGCTCAGATGATCCTCCCACCTCAGCCTCCTGAGTAGCTGGGTCTACAGACATGCACCACCATGCCCAGCTAATTTTTTTATTTTTTTGCAGGGTTGGAAGTAGAGATAGGGTCTTGCCATTTTGCTCAGGCTAGTCTCAAACTCCTGGATTCAAGTAATCTTCCCGCCTTGGCCTTCCACAACTGGGATTACAAGACATGAGCCACCACAGATGGTTGATTTTTGTTTTTGTTTTGTTTTGTTTTTTGGTAGAGACAGAGTCTTTCCATGTTGCCCAGGCTAGTCTTGAACTCCTGACTTAAACAACCCTCCTGCCTTGGCCTCCCAAAGCTCCTACTTGTTGAATGAATGGATAAATCCTCTCTAGTCTCTGAATGTAAGTGGCATTTCCTGCATTATTGTTGACCTGCTTTCATGACACAGAGGCAATTGTTGATGGTTATCCACACTCAACCTAGGAATTCTCTTCTTTCTCTTTCTCCTTCCTCTCCTAACCCCCTTTTCTCCCTCTCTTGGCCTCCGGGGCAGTGATGTCTGGAGGAAGCGTAGGGAAGCATGGCCTGGAATAGGCAGTCCCAGCCGCTTACCTCTCCTGAGGTGATGTGTATTAGAGATTTAAACTGGATGAGCTTCTCAAAGGCAAAGGAGGAAACAGCTGCTCGGAACCTGATGGCTGTGCGCTGGTTGATGATCCAACTGCAGGAGAGACTCACAGACTTCAAACATTCGGAGAGAAAAAGGGCAAAGCAGAGTCCCACTCCAAGGACAACATTCCCCGACTGCTCTTCTGAATATTCCAGGATTTTTGGTATAATCAATGTCTACAAGGAAATGGGAGTTTGGATCATTCAGACTGCCCCGCCAAACACGTTTGATGTTTGTTGCTGGAAGAAGGGTTGGGAGGTCTGATTCATGCTGCGGATTTGTTGAAGGATCAAAACTGACTAAGCACAATCCTGCCCTCAAGAAGCTTAAGGTCCAGTTGGAGGAGACTTAGGAGTTCAACTGACCCAGTTCTGAAATCTTAGGTGGTTGTCCTCATCCTGACAGGAGACAAGGGGCACACACAAAAGAGTGATTTAGGAGTTAACGAAGTGGCTTTACAAAGGTGTGGGCAGAATATAGGAAATCCAACAAGGCCTGGTGGAGCACCATGGAGCTGGGGACAGCAGGGAACAGTGGCCTCCTTTGACCTAAGGGGCAAGAGCAGGAAGAGGTTCCAGGGCCCAAAAGGGGTGAGGCGCGCAGAGAGGGTCTGGACAGGAGCTCTGATCACCAGCCTCCAAGGACAAGGAGGGAGGCCGCCCAGGGAATACGTATCCTGACCTCATCTTCTCCCTCCTTCCAGTCTCCTTTTGGAATCTCCCACTGGTCAACCCTAACCAGAAGCCAGAGGGCAGTGGGGGCTCATTAATGTGATCCACACTAGGGGCACAGGGCAGGATGGAAAATGACGGAGAGTGGATCTAAAAGACCCGGCACCTGTCACCCGACTCAGTTATCTCCATTCTGTCATAGACTGCTGTTTCTTCCTGACCTACATTCACCTCCCCTGAGCTGGTACCAGTGCCTCAGTTTTCTTCTGGGAAGATTCCCATCTCCCCCGTTGGTGCAGTCTAGGCTGGACTGTAAATCAAAGTGCCCCACTTCTTCTGGCCAACCAGTGATCATGTGACCCCAGTTGGCCAATCAGACTCTTTCTCTCATATGAGCCTCTTGGGCTGAGGAACTGGAGAATGATGGGAGATAAAGCCCATTCATCCCAACCATGGTACCTGGAGAAGACCATTATTTCCTGCTACCTACATTCCCAGAGTTGCTCAGCCATTTCTCAGAGGAGCTAACATGTTCTGAGCCAGGCCATATTCTAAGTGCTTTATATACTTATCTCATTTGATGTTACCCTATGAGGCAGTTCTCCATTTTACATGCAAGGGTTTCCATAAGGTCTACACTTGAGGGTGCATGGGATTCCATGGGATTCCATGAGGAAACCAAGGCACAGAGAGCATGACTATATTGCCCGAAGTCACCCACCAGCTAAGTGGCAGGGACATGGTTTGAACCCAAGCAGTGGCTACAGGGCCACTCCTTGGTAGTTAGCTACTCCTAATCACCATGCTCTACCGTCCTCAAAAGGTCTTCACTTTCTAGACAGCAACTGAAAGACAAATGCATCTCTAACTCACGGCATGGACTTGAACATGCCACCAGTTCCATTTCTAAACCTCTGAAGCCTAGAGTCCCCCAAACCTCACCAACTCTGCCACTTACTGGCCCGAGTACACTGGCAATGCAGAAGCAGACACCCAGAAGTGCATCGAAAATCATCCTTGTTCTCTGGAACCTCAGCATCACCAGAAACACTGAAGCTTTTTCAATCCCTCGCCTTGAGACTTCTTCTTCCCAAAGGCGGTGAAGCCTTGAAAAGAGGATAATGGAACTAGTGGAATCTCTTTGCATGTGACATCCAAACATCCTAGTTCTTGCTAGCCAGGAGTTTTGTTGCAGAAATTTTCAAACATAACAGAATAGAACAATGTAGTAATCTTCTGAGTACTCATCCCCCTTCTTCCAGAATTAAAAATATTTGACATTTTTGTTTCATGTCTCCTCCCTTTGACTTTTGTTTCCTGGAGGATTTGAAGCAAATCTCAGTCATCATATCATTTTATCTGTAAATGCTTCAGTATGTATCTCTTTCAGATAAAGTCCCTTAAAAAACCATAGCAACAGGGCCAGGTGCAGTGGCTCATGCCTGTAATCCCAGCACTTTGGGAGGCCAAGGTGTGTGGATCACTTGAGGTCAGGAGTTCGAGACCAGTCTGGTCAACATGGTGAAAACCCCACCTCTGCCAAAAATGCAACAATTAGTTGGGTATGGTGGCATGAGCCTGTAATCCCAGGTACTCGGGAGGCTGAGGCAGGAGAATTGCTTGAACTCAGGAGGCAGAAGTTGCAGTAAGCTAAGATCATGCCTCTGCACTCCAGCCTGGGTGACAGAGTGAGACTCCATCTCAAAAAATACAAAAAACAAACCAACAACAACAACAAAAAAAACATAGTAACAATAAAAATAACACTACAGTCAGGAACCTATAGTCCCAGCTACTTGGGAGGCTGAGGCAGGAGAATGGCTTGAACCTGGGAGGCGAGTTGAACCAGTGAGCCGAGGTGGCGCCACTGCACTCCAGCCTGGGTGACAGAGCGAGACTCCGTCTCAAAAAAATAAAATAACGTAACAGCAGAGTAACAATAATTACTTAATGGCATTTAATGCCCAGTCTGTATTGAAATTTCTCTAATTATTTAAACATGTCTTTATAAAGTTAGTTTCTCTGAATCAAGATCCAAACAAGGTCCACACATTGCATCTAAAGGAGAAATCTGATAGAACTCTTGAGTTGCATTTTAATCTGTAAGCATTTCCCCTGGTCTGCATTTCTACGCCATTTATTTGTTGAAGAAACTGATTTTTATTCATTCTGTAGGATCTTACACACTCTGAACTGGACTGATTGCATCTCCATGGTGTTGTCTAACATAATCGTTGTTCCCCTGTGCTTCCTAATAAACTGGTCATTAGACCTAAGGCTTAATGAAATCCAGAATTCAAGTCATTTGGAAAAAAAATTTAAGAGGTGATGTAGTGTACTTCCTGTTGCCTCACATCAGAAACCACATGATGTCTGGTGTCCCACTTTTAGGAATGTTGAGGGGGTCAGTGGGTTAGGGTGTGTCAGCCTGCCTCCTTCATTTTCAAGATCTCCAACACTGATGACCACTGCCTAGCGCCACCTCCACTAGTGCTGGAAAAATGATGAGTTTTCTAATTCTTCCATTCCTTCTGTATTTAGTAGTTTGCGTATGTAGTGAGACCTCATCTTTAAACAAAAAACAAAAATGGAGTGATTGCAAAAGTGTTTGTGGACAGACATTGTGAGTAATGAAATTAAAAAGAGAATCAGTGAACTGGAAGAGAATGGAAGGAAGTCAGGAGATCTTGTACTCACAATGGTTAGAGAAGAACAAGCAAACTCACATTGACTTAGCTGGTTACCTATTAAGCATCAAGTGTTTTTCCAGGTACATTATTATTATTGTTATTTGAGATGGAGTCTCACTCTGTCACCCAGGCTGGAGTGCAGTGGCGCAATCTTGGCTCACTGCAACCTCCACCTTCCGGGTTCAAGCAATTCTCTGTGTCCTTTAAAAAATGAATTTATCACCTCTTTCGTTTCTTGCAACAATCCTATGAAGGACCATGAAATAAATTTATGATCCATTATTTATTAAATTTTTTTTGCGACGGAGTCTCGCTCTGTTGCCCAGGCTGGAGTGCAGTGACGTGATCTCAGCTCACTGTAAGCTCCGCCTCCTGGGTTCACGCCATTCTCTTGCCTCAGCCTCCTGAGTAGCTGGGACTACAGGTGCCCGCCACCACGCCCGGCTAATTTTTTTGTATTTTTAGTAGAGACGGGGTTTCACTGTGTTAGCCAGGATGGTCTCGATCTCCTGACCTCGTGATCTGCCCGCCTCCGCCTCCCAAAGTGCTGGGATTACAGGCGTGAGCCACTGCGGCCGGCCAATCCACTATTTTATACATAAAGACACAGGGCCCAGAAAGGGAAACTTGTCTGATATCATAGTCAGTAAGAGGTGAGATTCTGACCAATATCTGGCATTATCCAAAAAGTATTTCCTGGAACCATTTCTTTTTTTCTTACCAAGTAAGTCTGAGAAGGAATGGGTCAAAGTTTACCCAGTTTCTGTACTCCATGTGAAAACATGTGCCTTCAATATGTTAAGTTGCTTTGTAAGCCTCCAACATCTGGCTATAATACAACATTTCACAAACTCCTCTGACTACTGAATGCTCTTTATGGGGAGGCTCTTATGAGACTATAATTTCCAGAACACATTTGGGAACTCATTTTCCACCTGGTATCTCTCATGAAGCAGCTAGAGGTAGGAACATGAATACAGGACCTTTAAAATCACATATTCATATTCTCCCACTTTTTGTCCTCATATTACCGTGTGTGACAGCTGGTACAAGAAATTAAATCATACAACTAGTTAGCGGTGGCTTGAGCATTGGGAGACTGGGCCACTTACCCAAAGTAATACTCAGTGTCACTGTCGAATGCCTGATCCAGAAGAGAAAATCAAAACGAACTAGAAGTGGTCATTTCTAAGTTTCTTGGGACAGGCGTGGTGGCTCACGCCTGTAATTCCAGATCTTTGGGAGGCCAAGGCAGGTGGATCACCTGAGGTCAGGAGTTCAAGACCAGCCTGGCCAACATGGTGAAACCCCGTCCCTACTAAAAATACAAAAATTAGCCAGACATGGTGGCAAGTGCCTGTAATTCCAGCTACTTGGGAGGCTGAGGCAGGAGAATCACTTGAACCCAGGAGGCGCAGGTTGCAGTGAGCCGAGATTGCATCACTGCACTCCAGCCTGGGTGACAGAGAAAGACTCCATCTCAAAAATAAAAATAGTGATAAAAATAAAGTAAAAAATGATAAATAAATAACTTTCTTGGGTTCACAAACCTTTTGGTAAATCTGATAAGAGATGTGAATTCTTGCTCCAGAGAAAGATCTCCAGCCTGTATGTACAAAATATCCATACCATTGTAGGAGATTCATGAACCCCGGGTTAAAAACCCTCACCTAGTATGAGGCCTCTTCCTACAGGAAGAGCCAAGTGGTCTGGGGTGGACCCTCCCTACCACCCTTAGGCATCTCTGGTCATCATCCCACCAAGAGATAGCCTTTAACTATTCCACTGGTTTGCCCAGCCCAGCTTCACCTTTGGACATTTTTGTCTGAGGCATCATGGACTGACAGTGGAGGGATGGTGTTCTCATCTAAGCGATTCCGAAAGCTTTGGATCATGAGCGGGGTGAGCCATGACATGGTGAGGTAGGAGAACAGACCAGCATCATCCAGGGGCTGGGGGGCAGGAAACCTAGTAGAGGGGCCACAGGGATAAGAATGAAGTCAGGATCAAGATTTTGCAAGGATGAATGATAACCATAGAGAAACACAACGAGGTCACCCAGATCTACACACAAACATGTTTTCATGACTCTTATTTGTAAGATGAAAACCATAAACAACAAAAGTACCCATTAACTGGGGAATTATTTAAACAAAAAGAGAGAAATTATGATCTACCCATACTATAAAATGCAAATGCAAATTCAGTGTAGATGTTTGGATTTTTTTTTTTTCAATAAGGTTTGTTTATATGTAGAACACAGGAAGAGTTCCAAGCAAGAGCCAAAAAAAGACCACTTGCAGATTAAAAACTCAGTATTGGCCGGGCGCAGTGGCTCACGCCTGTAATCCCAGGGCGCAGTGGCTCACGCCTATAATCCCAGCACTTCTGGAGGCTGAGGAGGGTGGATCACCTGAGGTCAGGAGTTTGAGGCCAGCCAGGCCAACATCGTGAAACCCTGTTTCTACTAAAAATACAAAAATTAGCTTGGTGTGGTAGTGTGCATGCCTGTAATCCCAGCTACTTGGGAGGCTGAGTTGCGAGAATCGCTTGAACCAGGGAGGCGGAGGTTGCAGTGAGCCGAGATCACGCCACTGCCACTCCGGCCTGGGAGACCAAGCACGACTCCGTCTCAAAAGGAAAAAAACAAAAACCAAAAAAAAGTATATATTTTTTTTACTTATATAAAAAAGGAAGAAAGGAGGGAAAGCAGACAAAACAGTATATACATTTATATCACATTGCTGATAGTGGTTGACATTGAAAAAGGAGTTGGAGTTGGCAAAGAAATAGGAAGAGAGGTTCTCATGGCTTTAATTCTTCTGTGAAACTTTTACAAACAATAAAATTGAATGCATACATAGTTAAAGATGATAAGGTATTATCTTTAAGAATGATTTACAAATACCAAAAATGATTAAATTAGGGTGTTGGGATTATGTGTCATTTTTCCACTTTTTTTTTTTTTTTCAAAATTGCCTTTAAGGTTATGTGTTTTAGTGGGAAGAAAATGCAATTTGAAAAGAGACTTGAGGAGAAAGATGGGAAGATGAAAATGCCGAACTTACAAGATTTCTTTTGAGGGTAGGGGAGAGGGGCTATGACATCTTTTCTCCACCCTTTTATATCCTGTGTTCTCCACAAGGCTGGCCACATGCCCTTGCCAGGGATATTGGAGCAAGGAGTGGGTGAGGGGAGGGCAAGAGATTGTACTCTTTATGATCACAAAAGACAGGACAAGACCTATGAACTAGTGCTAATATCTCAAAGCCCCAACAGAAACAATATATTTATCTAAGATGAGGTTACCCAGGTGAACAAAAGTATCAAGGTTCTTTTTTCTTGGTGGAGATAACATAATTCAGTATGGTAACAATGCAACCAGTATGGACAGAAGCTCCGAGTTTAAAAATGGGAAAACAAATGCAGTTTGTTGATAGATAAAAATCTTAGAAAACATGTTGAAGAGAAGGAGAAATCGTAAACACAAAATTAACTTTTGGTGATTAAACACTGAAGAGTCAGACTAACAGAGCGTTAAGATCTTGTCAATAAATAACAAATAGATGAGCGTGTGCATGCTTACGAGTATGATTCTGTAGGGGCCCCTGAAAGCAAGGCTGTATTAAGTTAGAAAGCAACTTGGTCCTAAATTATGAAGTATTCCTATGTTGCTTTAGTATTTATTACAATAAAAAGGGTTTGAAATATATTCTTTATGCATAAAATACCCTGCTAGAACCATTACTGCTAGGAAGAGAAAAAAACAACTCATATTAAATGGCTGTTTCTGCAATGGATGATATTTTAAATTGAAAAGTTCACTTTAAATTATTTTTACAGGGAAGACTGTTTTCAGCTATTTTTATATTGTACATAGTCTTTATGTAATCTACTAGCATACGTTTTGTTGACTGTTTAATGACTGGATATGTTCCACCAACTTTTGAAATAAAAACCAATGTTTTATACTTGCACATAGTTTTAAAGTCTATTAAAATTGGCCAGGTGCGGCAGCTCACATCTGTAATCCCAGCACTTTGAGAGGCTGAGGCAGGTGAATCACCTGAGGTCAGGGGTTCAAGACCAGCCTGGCCAACATGGTGAAAACTGTCTCTACTAAAAATATAAAAATTAGCCGGGCATGGTGGTAGGCACCTGTAATCTCAGCTACTTGGGAGGCTGAGGCAGAGAATCACTTGAACCTGGGAGATGGAGGTTGTAGTGAGCCCAGATCATGCCACTACAATCCAGCCTGGGCAAAAGAGTGAGACTCCATCTCAAAAAATAAAAATAAAAAACAAACAAACAAAATTTTCTTGTGACTGTTTTCTGTTAAAAAAAGAAAGCAATTTGGGGATGATTACATTAAACTATGATTGATTCAGGGGGTATACATTGAATTTCTTTCATCCTTAAATGTAAGGTTAACAGCCTAGGGCCTTCCTGTGGCTCCTGGTTACTCCTATAACCAAGGCCAATATCCTTAATGTGACCTTTGAGAACCTGTCTGATCCGCCTTCCTCTGCAGCCTCACCTCATGCCACGCCCACATCGCACAAGACTCTCCAGTGACACTGGCCTCCTTCTTTCTCAGTTCCTGGACACATCATGCTGTGTTCCTTGCCCCTCCAGGCAAGGCTGTCCCAGAGGCTGTTCCCTGAACATTCTTCTGCTACTCTTGCTTAGGAAATTCTTGTTCTCCCTTTAGGTGTCACTCAGCTTAAGCCACTCAGAACCTATCAAGTTGTCATGGTTCTCCTGTCCCTCAACACTCGCATATTTCTTCACAGCACCTTCCTTAAACAGCTTGTAATCACGTCATGCACAAGTCTATTTGCTCATTGTCTTTGTCTCCCATGTGAGGTCCCTGATGGCAAAGATCACGTCTGTTTGCTCACTGTTCTTCCCATGTGGTGTAGCGCAGTGCCTGGCACATGTAGGTGCTCAATGATCCTTTCTGAATGAATAAATAATGAATGAATGGCTATGACAATGTGCCTCCCTGGTGTGCCTCAGGCTGCTCTGAAGGGTTTTGGCTGTGTAGGGACGTAGTTATACAACCTTCACGAGAGGTCTATTTGGCAGGGTTAGGGATCATTGACCTGGTGGATACAGCTCTCCCCCACCACCCCCATCAGGACTCACCTTGGCTTGGGGCGGAAGGGAATCATGGTTCTCAAGGCAGCATCATACTTCCCCCACGGTGGGACAGTTGCCCTCCCCGGAGCCTCCAGATTTCTCTCTTGCTGACTCCAGGGGCCATCTTGGAGGGTGTAGGTTTTCTTGGAAAAGAAAAACAAAAGAGCATCAGTTTCAAAACTCATAAATTCTGTCCTGAGGGAATGTTGGACCAGATGCCCATGGAGAGATGGATTTTTCTATATCCTGCTTCCTAAAGAAAGGCTTCCACACTGGGAGTAAGCAGGGGGCCTAGAGTCAGAGCAAGTAGGTCCCAGCACTCGCTCTGCCCCACATTTGCTGAGTAAGTCTGGCCAAGTCACTCTACCTCTTTGGATTTTTATCTGAGACTAAACAATTTAGACAGGAATAAAGGGTGTCATAGTTAGTTACCCTCAGAATGAGGGACCAAGTCACTCTTTGAGGGTAAATCTACTAAAAAGAAACCAACAAGTAGAAAAGCAAATCCTAAAATATTATATGTTTCCCTTTTGACAACTAAAATAAAAGGACAGGTAATTTTTAGGACTTCATATAGAATACATAATATATTCTATATAAAATAATACTATTTTAAAAGCACAGCAAGGATTGACAGAAAGAGGTTCAGAATAGTGGTTACATCAGGTAGGAAGGGTTGGGGAATGAGATGGGGGAAGACCAATTGCTGCGTCTGATTGTCAAGGTCCAAGCTGATATGTTGGTGATGGGTTTGCAGATGATGATGATGATTATTATTACGAGTAAATGCATAGATAAGTAGGTAATAGGTGACAGATAGATATAGATACAATCTAATCTCTATACAATCTTATGCATAGAGATATGCATAAACCATGAAGGTGTGCCATGATGACGGATTATAATTGATCTAATTGTGGAAGCCTGAGGTCCATTTGAAAAAAGTCAAGAGTAGCTGGGTGGGGTGGCTCATGCTTGTAATCCCAGTGCTTTGGGAGGCCAAGACAGGAGGATTGAGGCCAGAAATTCAAGACAAGTCTGGGCAACATAGGGAGACCCCCGTTTCTGTGAAAAATTTAAAAATTAGTTCAATGTGGTGGTATGTGCCCATAGTCCCAGCTACTCAGGAGGCTGAGGTGGAAGGATCATTTGAACCCAGGAGGCTTCAGTGAGCTATGATTGTGCCACTGTACTCTAGCCTGGGTGACAAAGCAAGACCCTGAGTCAAAAAAAAAAAAAAGAGAGAGAGAGAAAACAAAAAAAGAAAAGAAAAAAATTTACAAATTCAAGGGTAAATAAGTATAGGAAGAAATTGTTCGACGTAATTTATGACTATGGAAAATAATCTGCCAACTCAGTTTCCTGGGGTGCTGATGCTAAGAGATCTACTTACATAACTAAGTCCTGAAACCATGTCATCGCCTATGTCGATGCCAAGATTCACAAGGCCACCAGAAGAGTTGGGCACCCAGTATGTCCTCTTCCTAGTCATTTTCAGTTCCTGCCAATTCTTCGTTTCCCAGAATCAGAGAACATGAAAAGACAGCAGGAGTTAGAGGCAGCTTAGATCCCATCTTGAGCAGCCAGGAGAGGGGGCACTACCCTGCCGGGAGCATTTTGGGGTCATGCAGAGGTTTGGGTGCCTGCTCTTTTCTCTCCTTAGCATGTGCTTGATCCCTCTTTTTAAATATCTTCTCAGACCTCAGGTCCAAATCATTAGTGAAACTTTCTCTAACCACCCTCCCTAACCCACCCCTAACACCATACCCTTGATCCTGGGCAATCTCCTTTGGTCTATCAAAGCCCTGCTCGTAAAATCAGTCTTCTTGCTTTATCCCAGTCTGTAACTGTGTATTTGTTTGAATCATTATTTGTTCAGACTTCGTTTATGCACTACACAGAGAGCCTCATGAGCACAGGGATGTGTCTGCTTTCCTCGCTGTTGAATTTCCGGGGCCTGGAATGTGCTGGGAGGACAGCAGGTGCTCAACAAATGAAGAAGGAATGGACGCATACATGAATGAAAGAAACATCATTTTGCCCTTCTTTCACTCTTGGTTTTCACAGACCCCAGAGGGAATCTGGGCACAAGTTAGGAAACTTAAATAATCAGGGTTGTTGTTGTTTTTTTTTTTTTTTTTGATGCACCTTTCATATTTGTTTTCCTGAGTATGTGACTCACTCCCTGCTTGACTCAGAACATTCATGTGCCTGGGGCAGGAGAGAAGGTAAGTAATTAGGAATATTCTGAAGAGATGGAAAGAGAAAGCATGCAGCAGAGCCAGGGCCATGGGGGTACAGCCTGTGTCCCCGAGAGCCCCAGGCTTAGTTTAATGCTTTTCTGTTGCCATCTTGAAATTTTTAATACATTTGAACAAGAAGACCCACATTTTCATTTTCATTTACATTTTGCACTGGGACCCACAAATTATGTAGTTGGTCCTGGTGTTCAGATATAGCTTTTACCATTCAAATACTGAGGCTGGGCATGGTGGCATGCATCTATAATTCCAGCACTTTGGGAGGCCAAGGCAGGAGGACTGCTTGAGCTCAGGAGTTTGAGACCAGCCTGGGAAACATGGTAAAACCCTGTCTCTACCAGAAATATAAAAAATTAGCTAGGTGTGGTGGTGCACACTTGTGGTCTCAGCTACTTGAGAGGCAGAAGAATAACTTGAGGCAGAAGAATAACTTGAGGCAGAAGAATAACTTGATCCTGGAAGGTGGAAGTTGCAATGAACTGACATTGTGCCACTGTACTCCAGCCTGGGCAAAAAAGCAAGACCCCATCTCAAAAAACAAAACAAAACAAACATTCAAATACAGGATTGTACTTCAAGCAAATAGACTGCAAGCTAACCCATTACTTTGTGAGAAGTTACTCTGGATTTCTTTGTCCCATTCCCTCCCATCCCACTTCCTTTTACCAAATCACAACCAGATCTGGTAGAGTCAGTTGCTGGAATTTTCTTGCAGACCATATAAGATAGACTTCCCAGCCAGGGCACCAGGCCATAGGCTTACTTGCCATGTAGTGGTAGAATGTGGACACTTCAGGGATGACAGAAAAGAGAAAAGAGAGAGAAGAAGGTGTATTAGATAAGAGAGAGTGACACACAATCTTTACAGCTCTGGGAAGAAGACTGGCTGCCATGAACCAGCCTAGAATATAGCTGCATTAAAGTAAAACTGGCATGATTCCCTAGAATGAGGCCCTGTGGATGGGGCCATGGTGTATTGCTGTATGATTTATTCACACACGAACATCCCCAGTAAAGGGAATAGAGCAGGGGGTGGAGACAGCAAATTTCAGAGTGCAAGTCTCATATCCTTGCAAAGGGCTTCCTCAGTGCTGTGCTGATAAATGTCTGTATCTGTAACAAACCTGTGGTTGCAATTGGTGATTAAGTATAGTTCCAATGCTACTTGCCATTTTGCTGTATGTTAACAAGAGGAAAGTGCAATACCAGAGATGTATGTTGGTTGAATCTTCACTCATTTGTCAATGACCTGAGTAACTTTGCTGAATAGTTTTCAAATGCTGAAAGAATATTCCCTTATTTTATTTTACTACTCACAATATAACGGCTACAGGTCCCACACAGTTGTAGATTTAATCTACATTATTAACATTTCCTACATTTCTTTCTTAAGACTAGACAATCAACAAAACGATAAATCCAGCCCTGATATGTAGCCTTTGCCTATTTCTGTGGTGTAAACACACCCATCATAGCTGATTTCATGATGTGATACCAACATAACTCCACCGAATGCAGAGCTGGGAAGAGATGCACAGCACGACATCACCATATAGTGTTTCTACCACAGATATATAATAGATGTAAGTAACCTCAGAAGTATAAATAACAGCAAAAGGTAGCAAAATAAGTAGGAAATGATACATTTTGAGTATTATCTTTGTTTTTGATATAATTTATTTAATTGTAAGGTTATATAACTTGATTTTTAATAATGTTTGTGTTTAGCAACTAGGCTCTCAAAGTTCATGAAAATTTGACCGCTGATTCTCATGAAGCAGTAAGAACAGGCGCCAGCAGACCACTGTGGCATCCATCTTGCAAGAGTGCTGCCTTTTCTTAAATCCTCGTCTTGCTGGGCACATCATTTTCCAATTCACTTCTAAGTGCTCTATGGGCTGTGGCTGGCTGTGCTGGTGGTAAGCTTTCTTGGCTTCCCTGTGGTATCGATGGGAAGAAGAAGTCGCTAAAAGTCTGGGTGAAGGACTTTCCAGAAGTGGCATACTGGACAACCCAGGCTGCAAACAGCTGAGAGTCATGGAGAGATCCTGGAGGGGATTATGGTGCCAACGGAAGTAGGACAGGGGAGTCCTAGCAACTCAGAGAACACCCCCAGGTGAGTGAGCCAAAAAAGCTTTACTTGAAGGCCTACCCAAGATCCAGTTGGCTTGCAAAGACAGCAGGACAGGCAGTGACCAAGCAGACAAAAGACCTCCCCTGGGAAAGCCTAGGAGCAGAGGACACTATGCCCAGGTCCCTGATTCTTTCTCTGCCAGGTGACAACTCTGAGACAGAGCCTTTAGTGAGAATTACTTAATAAAATTATTTAAATTATTGGCTCAAACAAGATCTTAAACTGATAAGCCAAAACATTAATTTTTTCCTCATTAACCAGCAAGTGGGGGATCATGAGGAAGACCAGATTTGTAAAGACCAAGTAAAGAAATTAGATTTTCTCTCACCTCTCAGCTATAGTATGATTTGCCAACCTGGTTTATTCAAATACACCTGCAAAGAGAGGTAATGAAAGTTTCACAACTAGAGATGCAAAGAGATGCAACGAGGGTTACTCATCACATTCTGAAATTGCCATTTTTTTCCTCTATGGCTTATTTGTTTTCTGCATACCTCATTAAAATGTAAGCTCTTTGAAACCAGGGACCTTGTCTGTCTTGTTCACAGATGTGTCTTTGGATCTAGAAGAGTGCCCAGCACATAATGTGACTCTTTCCTATTCAAGATTCATCCAGGAAACTAACAACATGGAAAATGAAACCCAATGAAAATTAAGAAAATGCAAACATGTAATAGTTATGCTTGCAGAACATCAGTCGCTCGTCCCAAGCAAACGAGCTTGAGCTCAGCCACACATTAGCTTGGGCCTCCTTCCAGTTCCATGAGGCCCATCTCCACTTCCTGGACTGACCGGGGAATTCCCTCTAGAACTTTCTTTGGCAGTCCCGGAAAAGTTCCCTGGCCTCCCAATTCTCTTTCTGGAAGAAAATGGAGCTGGAGTTTATTCACTCTAATTAGTGTAAGACCATCATTGTAGTAAGGATGGAAACCAGGACATGACTGGGAATAAAATAGAGAGGAAACAACAGATGCTTCCAGCCCTGTGTTTTCCCAATCCCCAGAGGCAAAGGTCAGGATGACAAATTTGATTTGGACGTGGGTTGCTTGCATATGGTGAAACAGACTGTGAACAGGAGGGGAGCCAATGGAGCAGGGTAACCTGTATCAAGGGCTTTCTGGAGGAGCTGATTTATTTCCTTATTCTTATGCAGCAGGGTCTAGTGTCCAAGACCAGAAGGCACATCAGTGGCTAAGGTAGTGTCCAGGGCAAGGAGCCAGAAGCACCTGCCAGATGGGCCCTAAAGAAGTTTAAGTGATTAGGTCTTACTCCTCCTGTACCTCACCCTGTGCTATTTAACTTTCTCTGCTCTTAGGTTTATATCCTTCTGTTAGTTCCAATAGCTTCAGGAGGGCATCTTGTTGACTGAAGAATCCCCACATCTCAGTACCTGGCCTTCTCCTCAATTTCAGAAGCTAGGATGATCCTCTCACCTTGATCTTTGCACAAGTCCTAATATCTGCCAAGAATATTCTCCTCCCACCTCCTTGCAGAGCTGGTTCATTCTTGACATTCAGGACTCTACTCAAATGCCACCTCCTCGGAGTAACCTTCCCAGATCCCCTCTCTCCACATCACCTTCTGCATATTCTCCTAATCTACTTCCTTTACTCATCACATTCTGAAATTGCCATTTCTTTCCTTGTTGGCTTATTTGTTTTCTGCATACCTCATTAGAATGTAAGCTCTTTGAAACCAGGGACCTTGTCTGTCTTGTTCACAGATGTATCCTGAGATCTAGAAGAGTGCCCAGCACATAGTACATGCGTAGCAAATATTCGATGGATAAATGAATGAAGTACATGCAGAGTCTGTCAAAAAAGGAGCTAGGAAAGTCGCACAGTCACAAAAGATTTCACATTTAAATTCTTGGTGTTCTCCCAAGTGGGCTGACACATCCCAATCCGGAGATATAGTGACAGGATTGAAAGAGGGTTTTCATCAAGCAGGCAGGTTAAACTTGGGCCTGTTCCCGCACCACACCACATCTTCTACAGAGCAGCATGAATTTGTATTTTAAAAACTAAATCCAGCCATTATTATGTGAACAGAACATTTATACAGTTTCGTTTATTGTGGTTGTTGGGGCACATGTATGTGTTAGGCCAT